TTGCTGAAGACTTCTCCTGCCTTGAGTCATTCTGGGTTCTGCAATTTGGTTTCCACCTCCTCCATCCTGATCGTGACAGCTGTTCTCTGGGGGAAAAAAAGCTCTGGTGCTCCTGTTTAGCTAGAAATTAGTGGAAGCTGAGGGGAGTAGATAATGTCAAAATTTCAAGCCTTAGCCATTATTGTTTCTTGCTTCTGATTGTATAACAGAAGTATGAAGAAGTTCTGCCATGTTGTGGAGTTGCTAATGGTTAGCTTCTACTAGCCAAGACGTTCTCGGTTCTCACTAAACCAACAAACAGCCTTCTCCACATAATTTTCCTATGTGACATGCAGTTGTCAGGCTTTTCTAATCTGAGCATTTCCCCGTCTATTTTGAATTGGCAGCTAAAGCAGTAAATGTGAGTAGAAGACTATTTTCATGGTCAACCTGCATGTGAAACTCACAATGACCAATATGATTTCAAAAGTAATGAGTAGAAAATGGTTTCTCAGTTAATTTGCTTTTTACAGAACAGCGTGTCAGAGTGCTTCGATGAACGGACATAAAAATTGGTCAGAATGTTTATCAGTCCAAAATCTACAAAAACATCTCTTGAAGAGGTAACCTAAACCCAACAGGAGCTCTTTCAGCTTGGATCAAAGATTTCATTTTGGAGAATTGTAAGGATTATTCTTTAAAACTTCTAAAATTTTTGAGGTATTGGCTGCAGCTCTGGTCTGGAATCTCTTAACTCTTTGACCAGCAGATCAACCATTTTGGTATATTTTAATCCCTATATGTCATTGAAGAGCGCACTGAACTTCACAAAAAATCTACTACGAGAAATTATATTATGAAGATATTTGAAACAAAAATTAAACATTTTGGTCATATATTCCTACCTCGACATCATTATTTTGGAGATTATTTTTAAGTTCCATATTTTCATAATACTTATTGCGCTTATTTTTTCATGGTGTGAAACTGTCATTAATATACAGTCATTTACAGATAAATTAATGTTAAAAGTGTTACAGCTAAGAAGGCAGAGGATAGCAGAGTCATACAAATGTGGTTTTCTGGCTGAAAACGCCCACTGACCTCCGTTAGCTTTGGTTAGCTCAGTTCACTTGTTGCTACATTGTCTAAGAATTTGTTTGGTGTCAATCATCTGCCCCCACCCTTATGTCCATTTTTTTTTTTCCCAAGATTGACAAGACGCGTGAACCTGGCCAAGATGGCGGTAGGGGTAACGGCCCATTGGGCTTCAATTCAGCTCTTCAAAAACCTACAGATAGCTCGGAGGATTTGTCCATCTTATATTTACAGCCATCACGTCTGACACAAAGGGAGCCTAAGTCTCCTCCCTTTCCGGTCGGCTCATGGGTCCCTGGAAGAACAAAAAAATTAAAGCAAGTCAACGGGGCAAAAAACGCTATTTTCTAATCTGCTTTGCCTTACGCCCTGGATCGCACATATGTTGTACTGCAGTTTAAATTAAAAGACCACGCCAGTCACGTACTTTGAGATTTATCAGCTTGTAAATGTTCGTAATTAGCATGACTACACACCAGAAATTGGCACATGGCATATGTGACGTCGCCACATAATCTCCTCTCCCCTAACTTAGCTGCTACTTACCACATGACCAGATTTATGGTGGTTCTTTCCTCCTGTGGAGCGTTTGCTGAGCTTACAGCCCTTTACCCTCAGATTTTTCCCGTGTCTGGTTCGATGACGTCACTTTCGTGAAGCGCATTTGTAGTCCTGGACTTATTTTCCCACAAAACCTAAAATAGGGTTTCCCCCGTATCGAAATTAAGCATGTTCTTGGTATCAAAATGCTTCTTTAAAATTCACGGACATCATATGTAAAATCCATGGAACGTAACAAACGGAATTAGAAAACAGCGTTTTTAGCCTCATTGACTTGCATTCATTTTTTTTCCCGTTCTTCCGAGGACCCATGAGTCGGAAGTAGGTGGGCGTGACTTAGGCTCCCTATTCTCGGAGCTTAAGCAAAGTGCCCAGTGACTTGGAATATTCAATGTGATTGGATGTTTTGTTTAAATTTTCCCAAACCTTCTAAAACTCTATCACTTCACAACATGAAAAGATTTTAGTTCAAAACGGTCATTAAAGGCGATGTGTCAAATGTATTTAAATGGATTCGTCTCAAAACAAATTTTAGCCTCAATGCAGAACCAACAAACTTAGGTTGAGAACTTCCTTCGTACTCATTGTAATGTGACAGATGAATGAGTCTAGCTACTCACACATCCAGGGGATTACAACACTAAAACTCTTGAGTTCAACACATTCGTGTGCATCGCCACTCGTGTCAGTTTAGCTACAAAAGCATAAAACCTCAGGATGATGGGATCCGGTTCTCCTGATCTGTGCCGTTAAAGATCTTACAGCAGCAGCAGGTTAACCATCTGCTGTGAAGATGAGCACTCTCACCAAGAACGTCGTCACAAGACTAACCAGATAGAAAAAACGGAGATTACAGAGGCAGGAATATCAACTCTCTGCTTTGGAGTATTTACCTGAGGCTTAGCGGTTGTAAAGCCAGTGCATTCTGGAGGCTTTTTAAGGTAATGAAAAGGATTTGAGAGGTTGGGTTACTGTGCTGGTGTATGGTTGGATTTAATCACATGGAAGTGATCCTCAACGTGTGGTCATGCGTTACTGTTTCATCTCAGTTGCTTTTTAAACATATCTGCATTATATACATGTCTAAATCAGCTGTGGATCAAGTTATCTGATGGTATGTAGTGGTAACATTTAAAAAACGATCAACACCAACAACCTTTACAGAGGATCAACAAACCAAACAGTGCCCCCTGGCTACAACACCAGGAAATAACATCCTGGCAGAATCACATGATTACAAACCTCTAGAATTAGTTTTATTTCTGACCTTTTCCAAAACATGATGTTGTAAAAATGTTTATTTGTTGTTGTTCAGTCAAACAACCTCACATGTTTAATATACACTGCAATATTCATTATAGCAACACAAATACATTCTACATGCTGTTTTAGCACTTTTGTGATGCTCAGGGCGTCAGATGAAGATGAAGGAACAGTCTGATGGAAGGTAAGAAGGTAAGAAATATCTTGAATTAAAATAATTTGGATAAAAAAAATTATGTTTGAGACCTTCCGAAAAGCCAATTAAACCCAATATTAAGTCTATGCATCGCGGTTAAAACACACTGATTGTTGTATGAGAAAAAAAAAATTCCCTCAGCTGAACATTTTGTATGATGAATGATTTGGAATCACTTGTGACATCTTGGCTCACTCGGAATGAATGTCCGCCATTGTTTTTCCCATGAAAACGAACACGCATGGTGGACTTTGTCACAAGGATTAAATGCTCATGAATGCTAATGAGCAATGATGCAAACCACTGTGCACAAAGAAGCTAGAACAAAGAGGAAGTACCTTCAGTCTACGACCATAAAAGGCCTGCTGATTCACTGAACTCTTACAAATGTTGTACGAAGATATCAACACTTCATCCCTGCTGTCATTTGTATTGTTAAAGTGATCACTAAGGCTTTTTGAAGTTGGATATAATACTTTGAGCAGTTTGCATGACCTCATTTAGAAGAAATTGAGATTAGCGCGAGACAATTGGCAAGCTTAACAGCTAGTCTTAGAACATTCTGCCATGTTAAAACAAATTCAATCTCAAAAGCTGTATTCATGTTGAAGCAAATTTTAAAAAGTACATCGGTTTTCAGCACAGAGTTATTTTGGCAGAAATATTATAAAACCTTGACTGAAGGTGGTAAACACTGAACTAGAAGCTAGCTCCACTAGCCACAAGTAATAACCATAAAATGATATGGAAACTTAAGCGGTGGAGAGATTCAGCTTCTGAGAGCCGACGCCAATTTCAAATGTTTGCACGGGGTAAGGGTTAATAAACTATAAAGAAACACTTTTTTTTAAATTCCTTAATAGCTGTAAAATTTACGATTCTGGAAATAAAATTTTCCACAAAGAGGACCTTAAACTAAGCAACTACAAAGCTGGTCTTCCAGAATGTTGGTCAGGTCCAATCATTGGTGCAGCTCTAGAGAATAACAGTGTAATGTGAATGGGTTAAGATTCATGGTGGCGAGAAGGTGTATAAGGGGCTCGACACACGGGAGGCGACAAACGACCGCGATCAGCTAAATTCGTCGCTGTCGCTTTTATTACCTGACACACGGGAGGCGACCCGCGGCAGCGGCCAGCAGCAAAACCGTCGACGCGCTCTGTTCCTTGGTGAAATCGAATCTTCCGTTGTTTTGATTGGCTGTGTCAGGTTGGAGGGAATTAAGGTTATTTAAGTGATTCAGAGTAAAAAAAAACGGTAGATTTGATGTTTCACAAGGTGCTGCTAGAGTTATGTGAAAACTGGGAAATCCGTCACAGCAAGTATCAACATCTCCATGTTTGCTCGGAGATGTACGGAGCATCCTGTCCGCTCATTGGTCAGTGAATGAAACCTCCGTTGACTGGTCCTCGTCCGAGCGACAAATATTTCAACTTTCTGGGATCTCATCGTTGGGTCGCCTGTGCACAACACGTGCACGAGCTCAAAATTTCACACGCACGTTTTTCACGTTTCGCTTAGTAGGAGGGAGACCCGCGATTATCGCTTTGTTGTGCATGTCCGATTGAAAATGAATGGAGGAGAGGCGATGTCGCCTCCCGTGTGTTGAACCCAAGAAGCAGCATTGACATGAAAGTGAGATATTTTTGAGGTCAAAGTTGTTGTAAAATGTCAGTAATCCACTTTGGTTTTGGTCCTGCTGTGATTTTATATAATAGTCTCAGTCTGGTCAGAACTGAGGTTGCTCAAAGTGCTATCTGCGACAGATGGAAATGAATCGTTCGCAGATTTTCCTCAAGAAACCACATTAAAGAGTGCGCATACAGGTCCAAAACTGCACAAGAACCCAGTCAAACACAGACATTTGAACAAACAAACCAAACAGTTTTGTGTCCCTACTCACCCAGAGGCGATAAGTGCACGTGACTGAGCCATGGCGATACGCTGCAGAGCAGGACGGCTCAGGCCTGCGAGGCTAGACCGAGGCGGCAGAGGGGCGGCGCAGGCAGCAGACCCAGACGCAGACACTGGACCCAGAACGCGGGCAGAAGGCGACGGCGTGCAGGTGGAGGCGGCAGTGGAGATGAGAGGGGGTGCGGCTGGGGTGGCCACTGTCGGAGCAGAGCAGGATAGAGAGAGGGAGGAGGAACTGGAAGGTTGGGGAGGTAAGGAGGTCATCGATGAGAGAGTGGTGGAGGGAGGAGGGGGTGGTGGTGGAGGTGGTGGGAGTGTAGGAGGTGGGGGGCGATTGGAGGAGATGGAGAGAGCGGCAGTTGCTGGTCCAAGAAGGGAGAGTGAATGAGTGTAGCCTCCTCCATAGCTGGTACTGCTAAGACCACCAGCACCAACCATCCCCATACCCCCTCCACCTACTGGACCACCTGCACCAGCAACACTGCAGCCGCCTGTCGCACCTATTAAAGATGTCCTGTGGGGAGAAAAAGATCTTGACAGAGACGGAGGTCGAGGGAGTGTCAGGGAGTAAGCAATTCCTGGGAGAGGGTAACTGCTAAGTTTGGGGCTGGGGGGCTTGGTCACCGGTGGTCTTCGACCTAAAGTTTGAGCGGTTGTCATGGTACCCGCTTTGATGCTTAGCATCAACATGCACTGCTGACAGGCACAGGGCTGTCCCAAGGAGGTGATGGCTGAAGCAGGAAGTGCCCCACTGGGATAGGCACTCCCATTCCCAGTCCCACTACTGCTCATCCTCATTCCCATACCAGCACCAGAAACATCCACACCAAGAAGTCCTCCATGGCCAGGCATGGACATGGGTCCCCAAGCATGATGGGACTTGGGTAACGGCCCGGAGACCAGAGGATAAGCCAGGTCGGAACGCCGTTGGATTCTCCTGCAGCGCAGCGTCTGCCCATTGATTTGGGTCATGTTTTCAAAGTCAATGAGGTAGCAAAAGCCGAGCGGCGCCAGGTCCAGACAGGGCTGATGGCGGTCACGAGCTGCCTGGATGGCGATGCCCACCTCTGTGTCGTATGCGGTCCAACTGCCGGAGTCGTTCTCCCACTCCCACAAGCAGCCCTGGCCCGGCGCTGATGTGGGATCGTAGAAGCTACGTCGCACAGGTCGAAGGGTACCTGAGTCGTGAATGACAGCACAAGCAGAACATTTAAAGTGGATTCATCTTTAGTCCTCACTGAGCCATTCTGTTCTTGTTGCTCCACAACAGGGCAGGTAATGAAACACAAGTTTGTGCATGCGTTACAGTGAACAAGGACATTACAACTTTATAAAATTCAACACGTCTGTCTTTGCTTCCTCAGAATCTGGGCAAACAGGTTGCCCCTGGTAACAGCACTTGGTGTTCTGAATTCTGACTGGCTGGCGGCCTTTCATCCGACCCAAAGCTGGCTGTGTTTGCTTTCCCTGAGTGTCCAAAAGAAACTCTGCAGAGTATTCAAACTATATAGCTTTCATATACACAATCCCCTCTGCACACATTCCTTTAACTTGGTCAAGATGAAAATCTATGAAATTTCAAAGCGATTATGATTGCTTCTTTATCCTTTAGTGCAAAAATAAGGTCAAAAGGACAACAACCGTCATGGCATATATATATATATATATATATATATGTTTGTGTCTGAAATATGTGACACGAACAGGAAAACAGCACAATTACTAGATTATATGTGGCATAGGGCACACGCTTGTTTATAACAACTCTTCTAGTCAACCTCATTCAGTCAACAGACTCAAGAAATACCTCCACCACTCTGGCTCCCTCTTCCCTTCCTCTTATTTAGAGTTGGGTACACTGAGTTTACTCACTTCAGCCCGTTTTCGGTTGAAAAATGAAAACAGCACGATGCAAAGTCCTGGCAGGGACATTGCAATATAGGAACATGCAATAAAGCAACGAGGGTTACTTCCGTTTGTTAAAGGCATGGTTCACTGAGACACCATTTTTTATGACAAATTTTCATGACAATTTTTATTATAATTGGTAACTTTTTCATGCAGGCTGAACATGAAAATAGTCTCCTACACCTATCTCCTGCACAGTGGCGGATTTAGCAATTTGGGGGTCCAAGGCGAACACAGACATGGGGCCCCCTTACACAAAGGTTTTGACGGTCTTATCTTTAACTGGATTTGGGAAACTCTCCCCTCTTCTGACATGAGTAATTTCACTTTTTATTAGTCCTCCTCTTATTTCCTGTCTTTCTCTTCTTTTGAGTGCCTTCAATATTTGCTCTGCTTTCTTCTTCCTGTCAGTGCTCCTGTTCTTTTTTTCTTCAATTTTCCATTTTGGTCCATGTTTTCCTTTCTTTAAACATTTTCCATTGTCTTTCCTTTCTGCTTCCTTTGATGTTTACATAGAAAAACTATGTCACTTTTGGAGGTGAAGATAAAATCTTTTTTGAAGCAAGCTGCTTCTTTCTATTCCACCTTCCTCAAGATCCACTGATTTCCCTCTTTCCTATTCACTCTCTCTCTTTCTTAACATTTTTTAATCACAATAGTCTATTTTTTGCTCATTTAAAATATATTTTTAATTATTTTCGAAATTCTTTTTATATTTCTACATTTTTTGTTTTTGTGAAGCCCCTCGTGATTTTTATCATGAGAGGCGCTATAGAAAAGCAGCTCCACCACACAGTAGAACTCCTTCACGCTTGTGTTATTTGTGGAAATAAAACATTAATGTTGCAAAGCAAACTGAGTCAGTGGTAGCCATTTTGCTGTTAGATATTCCGAGATAAGATGTCCAAATATCAGGAAATAAGACTTCAAAATCTGTCGTCTGAAGCTCAACTCTGCTGTGGCTCACTTCTAGTACCTGAAACATGCACACCAGAGCAACTTTCAAGGCATTCATTCCTACTAGAGACAACAGCAAATGTATTAATTAATCGAGTGAATCACACCTTTAATTTACAAAGTTAATTGTGCTTTAAAGACCAAATTATAACATAAGCATAAACAAACACAATTTAAAGTGCCAAACTGGAGTTTTCCCCTCTTTCAGGAATTATGTTAGCCTGGGAAGCCATCCTATATATGTGAATATTTTTCCAGTTTGAAAAATGCAACAAATGCTGTTGCCTAGCAGACCAAGAGGGCGGAGCCGCTAACAAATACACACACACAAAGGCTCACAACAACATTGTGACATCATACGGTACCAGCTCATGTTCTAGGGTACCTCTTAGCCAATAGCAATGGCAGATTTAAATTCAAATGCCGTGCAGAGTTTTTACCTGACAGTTTTAGGCAGAAAATTTAAATTTGAACTAAAATGCACTAAAGTGCAAAACTATTGACTACACATGTCTGCAGAATGATTAGACATGCATTTATATAGTTTATCAGGAAAAAAAAGTTGATTTGGAGGTGACTTGCTCTTTAAGCGTGCTATTGGACAGCACTAGGACCAGTCAGAGCAACAAACAACATGACATACTCAACGCTACAGATATCAGTCAACGAGGCAGTCTGCCATTCACTGTTAAATAAGACACAAATACGTAGAAAAGCCCAAGTCTAAATTGTTCAAAGTTGATGCCCAAGCGGTTAGCGGTTGTTGTTTCGCTTTGTGGCAGCAACGTCCCAACCGCCAAAATGATAAGAGTGCTTTGCTGTGATTGGCCACCAAAAGATTAAGCGCTGTGTGGGCAAGCCACAAAACAAGCTCTTATTGAGCGTGGCTAGACTGTCCAAAATCCTTTTGCTTCTGCGTGTGCATTTGCGGACATACCTAAATCAGTGCCGTCCCTCCCTACTGGCAGATCACGCACAATGTGTAGGGCCTTGCAATCCATGGAGTTTTATGGTGGTTTATTATGTGGGGCCTATGTGGCAGGGCGTGGGCCTCACGTAGACTGGTGTTAGCGACATTTCGTATGGACAATAAAATCTTTAAAAAGTTTAAATGAATAAACAGGTTTGCCAGAGGAAACGAGAAAGTGCTAAGCACTAGTGGCTGTATTCTAGGTCCAAACATCTTTTGTTGTTCGTGGCTTTAAAAGATGGTTTTTCTTTTTGGGACTGATAGTTTGTCCTAAAGTTGTTGTGGTAGCAGCCGGCTGTTTCACCTTCTCTGGTGTTGAGCGGATAACCTCTCACACCAGTGGTGTTCTGTTGTGAGTGTGCTATGAGTGGAGGTCCCTGGGAAGTGCGGTAGTTTCGGCAAGACTGACAACCAGATTGTCCAATAGTTGCTTTTGTGTTTCGTGTTATTGGCGGAGGTTTTTAGACAAATACACTTTATTAAATTGTTTTTCTAATTTTCTTAACCTCTACAATATATTTCTAGCTGTACGATGTCGTTGTTAAGGCATGGAAAAAAGGTTTTAGGCTACTTTGTTTTCCACATTTGCTTTAGCAGTTTTTCATTTCAGAAGATTAATTTGTTAAAAAATGGCGTAGACACATAAATATTCAACATGCTATTCTAGATATTATAATGAAAAAGGAGCATGTGGAATAAAGCAACTCTGTTATCGTGGATATAAAATGGGTATTTACATAACTGCATGCGATTATCTCTATTAAACAAAAACAGGGAGACATTTTGCAGCAGAACACCGTTAGTTCCTCCTCAAGGCAGACCTTCAGTGGTAGATAAAGAAGGCATTATAACAAAAACCATAAAAAGAAACCAACTAAAAGGCCTCCCTGCATCCATCTCCCACCCGCCCGGTCTCTGTCTGCAAATCTTCCCGAGACTCACCTGTATCCTGTCGGAACTGTTGCATGGAATGCAAATCGATGATGTAGGGCGAGAGGCGAGAGTCCACCTGGCCGAGGACAACACTACCAACCCGCGGGTCGCTCCGGATGACCGCCTCGATGTGATGACAGACAACCGGGCTGTATGGCCACCAGCGTCCGTGCTCGTTCAGCCATTCCCATACCACCACGGCGGATGCTAGTAACATCCTACTCCTGCAAAAAAAAAAGCACAAAAACACCGAAAACGGTGAGGCGTAAACATAAGAGCGATGGAAACCGTGAGGGTTAGTGGGCTTTAAAGCCACCCCGCCGCCGCCTCTGCGTGCATCCTGGTGCACAGCGGCTTTGCATCCATCTTGCAAGCCAGATGTGTCCTCTGCTCTGCCTGTGGATATTAGTAAACATTTTAGGATGACAGTCCATGCAAACCGTACCTTCCATGTTTGTAGTTTAAGGTATGCGGCAGTTAGTGAGTCCCTGTTTATTTGCATGCGAGGGAGAGAGAGAGACGCGGTGCTTTTCAGGATCCGAGGAGCTGTGCAGGATGGTTGCATTTTACTCCCTATGCAGATGAGTGACGTCTACTGAAATCATTTCTTAGGCACAATCAAGTTCGGCTGAGAGGAGAAATAGACATGTTTACAGTGGTGCTGGTGCAGAACTCATACAGCTAGTTATGATAATTAAGTTTTATAAATAAAATACACAGTAGAATTTGTTTTCAACTGATGTCAGTTCTTTTAACAAATAAAAAAAATTCAATTTAATGTCTCCTTAAAAATGTTATAATAATGTTTTTATAAAACGTATTTGGATTGTATTATATTATATTATAAACTTTGTGCTGCTCGCCTTCTTTCAAAAGTAGACCTGTCTGACAACTAAACTCACTAAAAATCAAATGTTTGATCACATCTCGTGCAAAGTCAACGCCCCTAGAGACTCTAACGTCCAATCAGAGCAAAGCAAATTCGTTTTTATCCAACCACAAATTAGTGTAATTTCATCCACTTCAGGTATGTGTTTTTAAGGGAAAATCGGTTTAATGTGAAGTAAAAATGCACTTTTTCTACGTTTCAAGGCAGACTATTAATTAGGAACAAGTGACGGAAAAAGAAACTTCTAAACTACGTGGAGATGCCGGGGATTGAACCCGGGACCTCATACATGCGAAGCATGCGCTCTACCACTGAGCTACATCCCCAATGATCGTGAACAGTATCGATTTTTCATCTTTTTATAAATTCTAAATGGCAGCATGCGTTGAATTATGGTTTGAATTTGAAAGTTTCTTTTTTACAGCGTGAATACAACTGACCATTGACGAAATTTCGGTTGTTTTTATTTTGCACTTTGCAGTAAACCTGAAGTATTTTTGGTAGCCTTGTTGGCAGCAAAAATATGGAATTTCCGTGGCTTTCATTGGCTTTTATCAGGGAATGATAAGGGTATTCATACGTTGTCATGATATAACAGTATACATTAGAAACTAAATGTATATTGCTTTTCTTTTGACCTAGCTAGTATAATAATAATAATAATAATAATAATAATAATAATAATAATAATAATAATAATAATAATAATACATTTTATTTATTTCATGATACCCAAGGATACTTTACAACAGTGAAGATAAAATCAAACAAGATAAACACAGTACAAAAACATCTAAAACACTAATGAGAAAGTTTACAAATTATAGTTAAAAAACAACTGTGATATTTAACTAGGTGCTAAAGGCTTGTCGGCGGAGGTAGGTTTTTAGTTAAAAGAGGGAGCGAATGAGTGGTGCAAAGGTCAGGGGGAAGAGAATTGCAGAGAGTAGAGCAGTCAGCTGCTCTGTTCCCGTGGTGCAGGCGAGCTGAGGGAGCCAAAAGTTGGGGAGCAGCAGAAGAGGAATGAAGTCAATGGACAGGAGTGGCGATGTGAAGGAGATCAGATACGTAGGAGGGAGCAAGGTTGTTAAGAACTTTGAGTGGGATGAGCAGAATTTTGAAACTGATTCTCTGTTTGAGTGGTAACCAATGGCGTTGTTGCAGAATGGGAGTGATGTGACAAGAGATGCGAGTCCTAGTGATGACACATTGTGCAGCATTCTGTAGACAGGGCTATTCAATTCTGGGCCTCGACTCGAGGGCCAGTATCCAGCACATTTAGGTTTTAACCCTGCTTCAACACACCTGATTTCAATCAGCAGGTGATTACACACTTCTGCAGGGCCTGATGAGCTGCTGTACAGGTGATTCAATAAACGAATCAAGTGTGCTAGAGCAGAGAAACCACTAAAACATGCTGGATACCGTCCCTCGAGGCCTGGAATTGAATAGCCCTACAGAAGTTGAGGTTTATGGAGGGATTTGCTGGGTAGAACAAAGAGAAGTGAGTTGCAGTAATCTGTCCTAGATGTGACAAGGCTGTGGACGAGGATGGCAGTGGTGTGAGGGGTAAGTGATGCACTGAGACGAGAGATGCTAGGAAAGTGAAAATAGGCAGACCGGGTAATATTGTGGATGTGAGTTTGATAAGAAAGTGTGCCTTCAATGATGATACCCAGGTTCTTAACAAGAGGAAAGGGAGTAACTATTGAATTGTCAATAGTGATGGGGAAAATGTTAGATTTAGACAGAGTATTAGGTGTGCCTACCAGGAGGACTTCAGTTTTATAACTGTTGAGTTTGAGGAAATTGGAATTGATCAATGAAACAGGAATGAACGTCTTGGAGACAGAGGGTCAGGGAGGAGGGCGGACGTGAAGTTGTGGGTTTGGTAGAGGTAGAGCTGGGTGTCATCGGCGCAGGCGCCGATCCGTCCCCCCCAACTAAGGCCAGAAAGAAAACAAAATCGGAGGTTAAGCGCTTGAAGCTCCTTTTTCCAATTACCTTGAATGCAGCATGACGTAAACAAACTGACTCCAGAGGCACAAAAGTGGTTGCTGCTAGGGTGCAGGATGAAGCGAAAAAGGCAAGCAGCGATTACTGCGTATTTAAAAAAGACCAACAGTGTAAGCAGGCGGGACCGATCTGTCTGTTTATGCATGTTGGTTATCGTTTCAGTATGTTGTTGTCATTGTTGGGACTTACTCGTTACAAGCGCGTTGGCCTCATTGCTGACTTTAACAAGTCTCATAAATATGATCCCTCATGAAGTTACTACTTTACACCAGAAGATAGTGGAGATGCGTAACCTTCAGGCTGAGAGAAGTTTGGGAGTTGTTAGAGTTTGAAAATGGCCTCTCGCCGAGAGGCTCCCAGTCGGGGAGAGAAGGAGATGTGCGCAACACGAAGAGCACAAATATTAGATAAAACGTATAATTGCTGGCAGGTCTGGTCTTTGTTGACTGATCGCTTTGTCTGGTAATGACTGACTCTGATTATGAAGCAGAATATTGACTCTGATTAAGAAATTCACTCATCCAGCCGGGACGATTGACGCTGCTGCAGCATCAGACAGCTGGTGCTGCACGAGAGGTGTGTGGAGTTTACAAGCTCCAAACGTTGGGTTTGATGTTGGTTTAACCTTCTCTGGGACGTGATGGATGTAGAAATGATGGTAAAAACACAGCTAACGTGATAGACGTAGCGACAATGTAAAAAAAAAGCCGTAAAAAGGAGCAGATGCCGATGCATTCTATATGTAACCTAGGGGGACGAGGTAAATGATGATGAGAAGGGGTGCCAGGACAGAGCCCTGGGGCACACCAGCGGAGACTGGAATGCTACTGGATTGGAATGACCTCAGTTGAATAAACTGTGTACAGTCAGAGAGATAGGAGGTGAACCAAACAAGAGGAATGTGAGTGAAAGATGATAGGTGCCCATTAGGAGGGTGCTATGGGAAATGGTGTCAAATGCTGCTGTGAGATCAAGGAGAATGAGAATTCCATACCATACCATACCAACTTTATTTATAAAGCACATTTAAAAACGGCATGGCAGCTGAACAAAGTGCTGTACAGAATAAAAAGTAAAAACACGACATAAAACAATACACGGTCAACAATAAAACACACAACAAAGCAGATAATCACGGTCAATAAAAAGACACATAGTAAAATAATAAAAGTCAGGGATTTAAAAATGCCTGGTCGTAAAAGTGAGCCTTAAGTAGCGACTTGAAATGGAGGAGGGATGGTGCCAGCCTCACTGAAAGAGGAAGAGCATTCCAGAGTGTCAGAGCAACATAGACAAAAGCACGCTGCCCCCGCGTTTTGTAATTCATTGTTGGAACACGAAGCAGCAGGCAATCAGCAGATCTCAATGCCCGGTTTGGCACATAACGAGTCACAAGATCAGACAGGTAATCCGGAGCCAGACCATTCAGGGCCTTAAAAACAAAAATCAGGATTTTAAACTTGACTCTGGAGTTTACGGGTAGCCAGTGGAGCCGCGCCAGTACAGGTGTGATATGGTCTCTTCTAGGGGTGTTTGTTAAAAACCTGGCTGCCACTTTCTGTACGACCTGAAGCCTGTTAAGAGCAGAGGCAGGTAAACCAATTAAAATGGAATTTGCGTAATCCAGTCAGGAGATGATAAAAAGATGAATTACGGATTCCAGGTGCGCTCCTTTCAGGATCGGTTTGAAGCGAACTAGTCTGCGCAGCTGATAAAAACACGATCTGACCACAGCATTAATCTGAGGGCCCATGGAAAAGTGTGTATCCAGTTTCACCCCCAGGTTGGTAACACACTGCTTCAGGTCATATGGGAGAATGTCCAAATCAGAAGATAAGTGTGTGGTTTTGTTAGCGGTCATCAGGAATGCCTCCGACTTAGAATCATTCAGCTTAAGGAAATTGTTGGCAAGCCAAACCCTCACTTCAGCCAAACATTGGTCCAGAAGAGAGAGGGAGCCTAGTTTGTTCAAAGCCAGGTAGATCTGGCAATCATCTGCATAAATATGATAGCCCAGGCCATATTTCCTCAGGATGAAACCCGGGGGAGGATGTAAAATGAAAACAGGAGAGGTCTGTTATGGCTACCAGCCTGGCCAGTGAGATTCAGGAGCCAGGATCACCCAGCCCCGGTGATCAGCCTGACACCGCCCCTCCTCCTCTCTTCCAGGCTGCTGGGGAGCACAGCTGATCTGAATCCTTCTGATGACCAACACCTGGGATAAAAAGGCTGTGCCTTCAGCAGTCTGGGAGGCAGCAGTGCAGGGGTTCTGCTGTCCTCCAGACCTCAGTTTTGGGTTTAACCCCTTCGTTTTGAGATGAGTTAACTTTAAGGTTAACTCTGAGTTATGAGCTTTTAAAAGGGTGAAGCTCTTCTAGATCCAGAGGGATCTTTTGATGTTTGTTGATAAAAAGGTTAACTTGGTTTGCTGCAATTTTATTGACTCCGGTTTTAAACACCTTCTGTGTTGGAAAAACTTTTACAATAAGTTTTTACCAGGTGTTTTAAGTCAGTAGATTGTTTCAGACTTTATCAACTTCGGAATTTTAAAAACACCTTCTGTTCGGTAAAGCTTTTAATATAAGTTTTTACCAGGTGTTTTTATAGTTGGTAATTTGTGTAATGTTAACCTTTTTGAGAGTTTTTGTTAGTTTTGCATTATCTTTATAATGCTCGCCATCTGTTTGCTCATTTTTAGAACCTTTAACAACAATTAAAACCATTTTAAATCCACTGTCGCAATTCTTATGTTACCCCCTCTTTGACATTTTAACATCTCCTGTCAGGGACGTAACAGGCCCAAGCACAGATCCCTGCGGGACTCCCCATGGAAGTGGAAGGAATGTAGAGGAACAATTACCCAACTGAACCTTGAAAACTCTGTTTGACAGGTATGAGCAGAACCACTGACGCGAGGTACCCCTAAGCCCTACCCTTGACTCAAGTCTATCCAGCAAAATATTGTGGTCAACGGTATCAAATGCTGCAGAAAGATCTAACAGTAGGAGCAAAACAGGAGACCCAGAGTCACAAGCCACCAGGATGTCATTGGTCAAGCGAAGAAGGGCTGATTCAGTACTGTGAAGTGGCCTAAACCCAGACTGGAACACATCAACCAGAGAAAAGCTATTCATGTGTGCTGTAATCTGTGAATAGACAGTCTTTTCAAGGACCTTAGACAAAAACGGTCATTTGGAGATTGGCCGGAAGTTTGCAAGGTTTGAGTTGTCTAAACCAGGTTTTTTAAAAATTGGTTGCACAACCGCCTTTTTAAAAGAAGTAGGAAACACCCCAGTGGCCAAGCTAAAGTTAAAAATGCCTAAGATGGCGGGGTCCAAAATAGGGATGATATCACCCACCATCCTTGGGGTGAGAGGGTCCTCAGGAAAACCTGCTGGTTTCATATTTCCAGTCAGATCTGACAATTCACTAAGAAATATGGGAGTAAAGTTATAGAATGAGGGAGGTTCTGGTGGTACATCAGGATAGCCAGATCCTGGTTGCACAAGACTATCCCTAATGTCCCGGACTTTGTAAAGAAAGAAGGTCTGGAGCTCAGCGCACATTGACACAGAGGGATCAACACTACCAGGTTCAGTTATCGACAAGATGGAGTTGACAGTGCTATAAAGTTTATGCTGATCACCCTGGTGTTGAGAGATTATGCATGCAAAGTATTTGTTCCTGGCCGATCTAACAGAATGGACAATAAACCAGAGTCAGATGCAGTGAGAAGGTCATTTGTGATTTTCAGAAGAGCTGTTTCAGTGCTGTGGAGAGGATGGAAGCCAGATTGAAGCTGTTCATAGATATTATTGGTGATGAGGTGGTTGTGAATTTGAGATGCAACTGATTTTTCAAGAATTTTAGAGATGATGGGTGGATCAATCAATCAATCAATGGATCAGTCAATGGATCAATCAATCAATCAGTCGATCAATCAAAGTCCTATCCTACCCCAATCAAGGGGGCCCAAGGTGCTGAATATTGCGCAGAAAAGCAGCACAATAAAACAGCTCAATAATAAAATACAGAGATAAAAACATTTTAAAAAAAGAGCTAAAAACAATTTTTAAAAAGTGATCAAAAACATTTAAATGTGAATAGAAACAACTAAGAAACAGATCTAAAATACAGCTTAAGCCTTGCTTTAAAAGCGGGCAGTGATGTGAACTGCTTGATTTCTTGTGGGAGTTGGTTCCAAAGCCGAGGACCCAAACATGCAAAGGCACGATCACCCCTAGACTTACGCTTTGATCGAACAAACGAAATGTCACTCTGACCCAAATGTAGCGATCTTGCAGGGACGTAATGGGTCAGCAGGGAGGCTAAATATCGTGGCGCTGAAAAACAAGGACCAGGATTTTTAACAATAAGCAACTCTTCACCAGTAGCCAATCCAAAGCTGTTGGGAGGGGAGTGATATGCTCCCACTTACATAATCCATACAGAAATCTGGCAACAGCGTTTTGGACCAGCTGGAGACGAGTCATTAAGGACTGGCTCAAGCCAGCATAGAGGGAGTTGCAGTACTCTAGCCTAGAGATGATAAATGCATTGGCTACAGTTTAACTCCTGTTTTGTTAAGATTTACTTAATATTAGATAAGCGCCTTAACTGATAGAAACACGAACAAACAACAGAGTTCACCTGACTATCAAATCGTAGACCTATCTATCTTGACACCCAAGTCCGTAATCAACGGACTTCTCGTAGGGGGGCAACGATGAAAGGTCCAATCCATGGGGCTGGCGGTCATTTGGAGTAAAAACTATTGTTTCAGTTTTTCCCTCATTTAAAGAAAGGAAGTTGGACCCCATCCATTGGGTAACATCATGGAGGCAATTCACCAGTTGCTGTATGCTACTTCTGGCCCCCTGTTTAACAGGCATATACAGCTGACAATTGTCAGCATACAGATGGAAATGAATGTTATGTTTTCTAAACAACAGTCGTAGTGGTAGCAGATAGAGGGAAAACAGCAGGGGGCCCAAAACAGAGCCCTGAGGAACCCCCCACCTAAGCTTAGCATCTCCTGAAGAATAAGAGCCAAGGGAAACAGAGAAAGTCCTATCCATGAGGTAGGACCTCATCCACTCAAACGCAGAACCAGAGAGCCCCACACCCGGTGTTCCAGTCGATTCAACAGAATCTGATGGTCAACAGTATCAAATGCTGCTGTTAAGTCAGTAGCAGCAGAGCCACAGCCTCACTCGCATCAGTTGCTAAAAATTTATCATTTAACATTTTTAAGAGGGCAGTTTCAATGCTGTGTCCAGCCTGAAAACCAGACTGAAATGGTTCCAAGATGTCATTTTGGGCAAGAAAAGACTGAAGCTGTAGATACACAACACATGACAGTATTTTAGCAAAAAAAATAGCAAATTTGAGATTGGCCTATAGTTGGAAATGATTTCCAGACCACACCCTGATTTGAGATAGGACGCAAATTATTGAAGTTTGCGGGGTCTAGGCCAGGTTTCCTCCGAATGGGTGTGGCTATTGCTGTTTTTAAAGTGAGAGGGACAATTCCAGATCTTAGGGATTGTTGATTGATATCAGTGATGAGAGGGGCAAGAGAAGAAATGCAGGTTTTGACAAGAGCTGTGGGGATGGGATCAAGCTGACTGGAGGACGGTTTCGATTTGAGGATGAGTTCAGGGATTTTTTGGACTGAGGGAGGGGGGAAGCTGGAAAATGTTGTGTGAAGTGGGTAGAGGGTAGTAAGTCCACTTTGGAGACTGGAGCACCCTGAGAGGTCAGGTGTTGATGGATGTTGGTGATTTTAGAAATAACAAAGGATATAAGTGAGCTACAAATATCAGAGTGTAAATGTAGGGGAGGGAGTCAGGGGGTTTTTGTGAGAGTGTGCAGGAGAGAAAATAGTTTTTGAGTTGTTTTGATTAGAGTGAATGAAATCAGAATATGAAGATTAAGCAGATGAGAGGTGGTCCTTGTAGAGAGAGCATTAAGTGAGCAGAGAACATTTCTTTGTGTATGGTTAGACCAGTTTACTTGTACAGTCGTTCCAGTTGACATCCTTGGGCTTTGAGCTGGGCAGGGGTGAACCATGGTGACGAGCGGGTGAATGAAACAGATCTGGTTTTTAGTGGGGCGGGAATATTCAAGAGGGTGGAGAGACCAGGTCATCAGGTGAACCGTTGCGTGTGAGACTTGGAAGAGTGACTATTTCAGAAGAAAATGTGTCAGCGTTTATATTTTTAATAGAGTATGGGACTAGGTGAGATTTACAGTCAGTGGGGGTGGTATCAGTGCAGCAGACCAGATCAGGATATGATCTTTACAGTGAGTTGGGAAGTTAATGTATTGCTGAAGTCCAAAGCATTCGAGGCAGGATAAAAAAAAATCTTTAGAGAGAGCATTGTTGAAATTGTCCACATGCATATTGGAGTCACCCAGGATGATTTTATGTTGAGACAGAGAGGAAAAATATGAAAGCAGGTGAGAAACATCATTTAGAAAGTCTTTGTTATATTTAGGAGGACGATAGATGGTGGCCACAATTGTAGGAGATGGTCCAGGCAGCAGCGAGGCAGAGAGCTCGGGGACAGCAGGACCAGGCATGACTTTCCAAGTCTCGCGGTGTAATATTGCGAGACCTCCGCCCCTACTTTATTGGATTTACTTATTGTAATAAAGAACAACATGGACATGGTAAAGTGTTTATTAAAAATTATGCAAAATAACTCAATGTTCAAAGCAATGTAAAATATAAAACATGCAATGGAAAAGTTTGAAATACATGTAAGTGCATTTTTTACAACAGCTTATTTGAACAAACATTTTTTTCTTCTGATTCCTTGACACCAAGCAGCCCTTGGACCAGAGGCCCACCACTGAGGAAAATGTTTTTCTCTCTTTTCTTTGTTGTCTTATCTTACACTGTGTTCTTTCTGGTTTTTCTTTATCGGCTTTGAAAACAAAAAGGATGTTTTGAAAGCAGGGGCGCCTCCAGAAAATTTTGATGGGGTGGCCGGACGGGGCCAAAGAATTTTTGGGGTGGCTCACCACATTGGTCCTTGTGGTGACTCTGGAAGAGTTTAGTCTGTAGCGATGTGTTGCATTGCTCCTTTATTCATCCTTATTTAAAAAAAACAGTACTTATCCAAAACATTTAACTTAAATTTTACAAACATAAACATTTCAGAAAAATTATTTTGTTATTTAAAATGTTATTTCACATGTTATTTTAAAATGTTTCTTTTTTTTTAGTTTAAGTCACCTGTTGCTGCATGTGTTCACAAAAAAACTATGGAGATAAAAACTTTTTTTAAATGGTGAGCAGCAGAAACATATGTATTTTTTTACTATGGTTATTTCTTTACTCATTAATTGAATTAGTTTTATTTTGTTTTACAATTATGTCTTGAATAAATAAGATCAGTTTAGGGTTTGAGTGAACATTAATATGATTTATTAAAACTGTCTTTTTCTGGGGGTGGGACAGCAATTCATGGCCACCCCTGGCCTCGTCTTGGGGGAGCCATTGCTTGAAAGCCACTTTGGTTTAGCTGGACTTTTGGTCTTTGTGTATTTTCTCTTCTAGAGTACAGTTGTATCGCTGCTCTGACCCTCACCCCCACCTTCTTCGGACCAGATGGCACTTCCTGAAAACTGTTTTAGATCTATCAACAACCCAGTCCCACCACTCACTTCCACTGGCCTTTGCTCCTCCACCATGTCCTCCTGCTTTTCCACCATCTCAATCTTTACCTCAGGTGTATCCATTAACCTGACTCTCTCTTCTGCTTCCGAGCTATCCGAACTGGACTCATCATCTTCCTTGTCATTTGTGTTACTACTTTCTTCGTTATTCTCGTCTTGTTCATTTTCTCCATCGTTGTCGCTTTCCTGCTGACTTCCATACCCCTCCTCCTGCCCTTCCTCAAACTCAACTCTCTGCATCTCCTCTCCTTCTTCATTGCCTTCAGGCAACATGCCGATCCATGCTCTCACAGTCATCACTGCATTGTTCGCTTGATCCCTGAGCCCTCCTTCCTTGAACAATATCTCTTGGACGGTATATTTGCCATTTGCTTGCTTGTTCAGCTCCTTGTAGGAGCAAAATAGTAATAGAATCAGCAAAACCAGTACGATAACAAGGATCCCCACTGTCACACCGCCCATTCCTGCAATGAGGAGAGAAGAGATTAGTTAGTGTGGACATTTTTGGTGAGAAAAGTGAAAATTTTTAAAAAGTGTGGACACACGAATCTTTGCTCATTCCTAAAACACTTTATCAAAACAGTTGGACGAAGATAAACAAGTTGATTTTCCCCAACTTGGAAGTAGGAACAGTCCCACAATCCACCATTAATTCTTTCAGTTCCCATACATAGATTAGCTTTTAAGAGGATCTGGTGTTTCTATAAATGTTTCACCAATTTTTTACTTTCACATATGTAAGGATTTAATTTACATCTATTTAACGAACCATAAGACATGAGATTCCATAGTGAATATGAAATCAATCTTATGGATCTTTGGGTACTTTTAACCAGAAGATTGGAACTTTTTATTGCAGGGATTATGTAACACTTCGTATTGACTGAGAGACAACAGAAGAGAGAGTCACCTTGAAAATGTTTAAGAAGATTTATTTCTAAACAATTTTAAACAAGACTAACTCTAAATTCTAAGTGAATGGATGGATCTTGGTGTGAGTGAGACGTGAGATGAATGGTGTATGTGTGAGTGATGTTGTCATCAGAACTCTCGTATTCCTGTCAAGCCAGACAGGATAGCTGAATTGCAGCCGCTAACGCAGACTCGTCCCGAGTCTTTTGATTTCTGAGTAATTTAAACTTAAGAAAGCGCATCTGCAAACGCTTCATCACGTGTACCGAGGTCAACTCTGGACCGGAACGTCGGACACCTTCGTCTTCTCTGCCAGCCAAGGTGCCCTGGATGAAACATCCTCCTTTGACGTCCCGGATCTAAAAGAGGGTCCTAAGTCGGTGAGGCAGTCCACAATAGATAGCGTTCTGATGCAATTGTTTTCCAACAAAACCTAAGTTCATTCAAACCATCACTTTTCACTCAGACACCTGTTTCTTCCTGAAGCAAAATCAGACGCACACACGCATTCATATCACATCATTCTCCATCTTCACACATTCAACACAAGATCTATTTGAGCAAGTTTAAAATATCAACTGTTAAAGATTGTCCAACAAAGTTGCCAATGTTGATTGTTATTTCCCATGCTTGTCATTTCAAAATCATTAGTTTTATTTCAAGAATTAAAACTTTTCACTTTCAAACTTGTCTCTTCATTGAACTGAAACACAGACCCACGGATATTATCGTCAGTTTATCGATGAAAACAACCTTTGAGTCTTCTTAATTCTATAAAATTTGGTTATTAATTTATTACAAATTAATACCACAAATTAAAATGTAGGATGGTTCCTCTTTCATAAAAGAGCATAAACCATTACACTACACCGGAGAAGAGAGTCTGAGTGATGAAGTGATGTTTTGCTCTTAAGCTATGATCGGAGTTTCATAAACACATGAGATGCCATTTTGTCGCTCCACACATACCCTTAGAATGAGACCTCTGTATAGATCCAGTTTGCCAGGTCCTCGGACCCCCCTTTCGGTACCGGAGCCGATGAAACAGCGTCAGCAGATTGCGGTGAACTGTACTAAGATGGCGTGGGGACTGGTTTTATTAATCTGGATGTTTTGATTTACAGTCGAATCAAAGTTGGACGGATTTATAAACACCACAGAGACTACGCCAGTCTTCAGAAAGGAAGGTTCCGATTGGATGAGAAAGATAAAACGTGTCATGCGTTTACATTACGTGTATCAGGATGTCTAGTGCAGCTAGATTAAAGTCATATTACTTATTAAAACTTACTAATCATAACATTGTCATTTCACAGATTGGTTCACATCTTATTATTGACTAACATTTTGTTTGATTAGCTTTATTAAAAATAGAAAGAGTTCTTCTTCATTCTTCTCTTGGGCTGGAAAGGAAAACAGTTTAGAAGCAAATGCATGAGACCTTAAGGCAATATCTCATGCAGATTACTTCCTGCTGGGGGGGGGGGGGGGGGGGACTTTTAGGTGGAAAACAGTCATTTCATTCCGTTACACATATATGTCTATGGCTCATGGGTCTCCGGAATAATAAAAAAATTCAACGCAAGCTTTTTTTTCTAATCTGCTTTTCCTTACGCCGTGAATCACACATGACGTATGTCTATGGTTGTACTTCAGTTTAAAAGAAAAGAAATTATGTGAGTTTCAACTATGTCACTTACTTTGAGATTTATTAGTTTGTAAAAATTCATAAATAAAATGACTACAAATTCGAAGTTGCATATAGGGAGTCTAAGTCACGCCCATCTACTTTTGGACTATGGGTCCCCGGAAGAATGACAAAATGAATGCAAGTCAATGGGGCTAAAAACGCAATTCTCTAATCCCATTTCTTACTTACCATGGATTTTACATACGATGCGTTCTCAATCTGTGCGCCTCGTCTCTGCAACCAACTCCCTCTTGCAGTGAGAATGTCCCCCTCTCTCTCTGTTTTTAAATTACGCCTGAAGGCTCATTTCTATTCTTTGGCTTTTAATTTGGCCTAGTCGGCCTCTTACTATGTCTTTGTTTTACTTTATTTATTGTTGACTTTATAGTCGTCACTGTGCTACTTTTATTACTTCTGACTCGTGAATTTTGGTTTTATTCGTTTCACCCTAATTCTAGTATACAGCAGTTTGGTCGGCCTTGGCCGTGTATAAATGTGCTTTATAAATAAAATGAATGAATGAATGAATGAATGAATGAATGAATGTCCGTGAAATTTAAAGTGACATTCTGATGCCAAGAAAGCGCTTGAACAGGGGCTAAATTTATTTTAGGTTTTGTTATGAAAATAGAGCCATTTTGTTAGTTTATTAGCATCAGACAGCTTATTATCAAAATCCTGAACCATTGAAGGTAACACATGAAAATTGCACAGGTTATTTTGTCAGACTCTTGGCTAAAATACAAATAAATATAATAATTACCTAAATGTTTTTTTTCTGTGTTGAGGTATATTTAAATGCAGGACACATTGGAGAGGTTACATCTCCAATCAGGTCCGGGAACGCCTTGGGGTCCTGCCGGAGGAGCTGGTGGACAAGGCTGGGGAGAGGATGGCCTGGAGCTCCCTAGTTGGGATGCTGCCCCCGCGACCCGGACCCGGACCCGGATAAGCGGAGGAAGACGACGACGACGGCAATTTTAAAACTGTGACCCAAGTCTCACTTTTGTTGTGCCTTCCAAACTCAAATCCTATAGGTCTAACCAGATTTAGAAACGCACGCTACCTTTGCAGAGTATTTCCTGTTGAGTGCGATCAAAAAAAAAAAAAAAAAGAAAATCAAATGACTTTGTGCCAGAGGCATGGTTTTGCCCTCATAAATTCCTGGTACTCTTAAAGAAGCCATGAATCTTTCATGTGAAAACCTATTGGTGTGAGCGTGTTCACAGCCTGGAACAAGAAAATTAAAGGATCGTGTAATTATAAGTCTCAATATGCCTTGTCGTTATTATTTGAATTACAATGACAAAGATTTAGCCCAATTAAAATGTATTCAGTTGACATTTTACATCAAGAAGGAATAAATATTAGAAAAATGAAATGTCTGCCTTGCCTCTGAGTAGACAGTGTTGATTCGAATGACAGGAAGTTCAGCAGGCCACTCGCAAACTTGCTGGTTTCCTGTCACAATGAAAAATACACAGCCTCAGACAGCTCGCCATTGCTGTAACATTGTCATTACAATGAGATAAAATAATCAATACATCATTAACTACTAGCAGGTACATTTACAATGTAATAACACAGATAAATAAGGACAACTGACTTTGGCTGTGGTTTATTCAATTCTTCCTACACATATCTGTTGAACAAACAACCAAACTTATTAAAATTTAAGTGTATCCAAAATGTAACAAGAAAAAAACCTTCATTAGAATAAAATAGAAGATAATAAACTTACCAAAGTAATTACAAGATGCTATTTCTGCACTTTGTGGCGCCACAGAGCAAGAGTGAGGGGGTCTGGCTTGCTTGTCATTTAGGGTGTGTTTGAATAATCTCACAGCATGTGAGCAGAGGAAAGAGAAGACTGATGCATGTCATGTGGTGAAGAGAAGCTAGCTGCAAAGCGTTTTAGGTAGGTGGAGGCTGAGGGGGCTGCAAGCGCAGATTAAACACAAAGTGCAGCAGGACGTTGTGGAAACCACAGATCTGAACATGCACCATTATTTATATGAGAAATGCATATGTTTAAACCAGGTGTATTACCAGGTTTCTTAAAATAAATAAAAATCTGTTAATCACTGCTGCAGAATTTGCCTCTAAAGAAGAACAAGGTGAAAAACTTTGCAGTTTTCTGAAACTGCGTGGCCACATCCTGTTTTGTGCACCACTGGCTGGGTTTATGCGCTCTCAGTGAAGGTTGCTTTGGCTGAATCTGTACAGTAACATTAACACAGTACACCTCTACTACGCTAACATGGTACATCTATATTCATATGGTTGTCTCAAGCTGAATGTCTAGCCAAAAAAGACAATGTTACACTGCAAGAAACGATTTAAAGACAGACAAGAAAGCTTTGTTTTTAGAAAATGTATCTTTTTTTTTTGTCTAAAATCTTTCTTATCTGCAAAACAGCACTTTAAGGGAATATGTTCATAATTTCTAATGTGGTAGGCAAAAGTTGATTGGCAAGACTTCTGACTAATGCAAAATTAGTTTGCTAGTTTTAAGTATTCCTAACTCTCACCCAATTGACAGATGTATTTTTTGCTCAAAACAAGAACATTTGATGATATTTACCTTCTTTTAAATAGTGCTGGTTTTGCAGATAAAACTTTTTATTTTTAGAATAAAAAGTCTAAAAAAAAGTTGGTTTGTGCTTTCTTAAAGTCAGTTTTGCAGTACAGACTCAACAGAAAAGGAATATTAGATAGGTTTTTCATGCACATTTTAAAAAACTTGCTTTTTACTTGCTTGCTTTTTGCTTTTTACTCCTACGTGTTTTTTTATTAATGTTTTTACACTAATTTGGTGCAGAATAGCTAAATTTAAGTCACTGATTTCAAAAATGTTTCTAAAGAGTGACTCAAAATCCGAATGTGAGATCAGAACTGCTTCAAAAAACCTTTAGAGGTTAAAATGCTTAATCATATTTTTAGCATCACAGCTGCAAGATGGAGTTGCAATGGTTTGCACAGTTGGCTGATTTTTTTACCCGTTCCCTGAAACAACTCTGTCATGCGTTTAGTTTGCTGTAAGATTCCAAAAACGTGGAAAAAAAAATCAACTTGCTTTCTAGTACCAACCGGTTTATTCCGTATTTGTCATTTTTATTCATCTTGGTCGCTCTTTAAAACTGTCTGTTCTTCCTGAAGTCACGCAAATTTCTGTAAGAGTCGTGAACAGTTAATAATAATAATAATAATTTTTAATTTAAAAAGACAAAAACAAAATAACTAAATGCTTATCATGTCAAAGAAAATAGTCACAAATACCTGAACGTGACACAAACATCAAATTAAACAAAACAAGTCATTGTTTGCAAAGTATAAAATAAAGTTTTAATGATTCTTTTTTCACAATACGGTCTCATTGACTCTGTTACTGTTACAGTTAGTGTTTGGAGGTCAGTGCATACAGAAACAAAGTTAGAATGGAAGTGCATCTGGATTTAGTACCATCTGTCATACTACAAGTGACCGATACATAGAATAATGCCTAATGATGTGAGTCACATTCAACGACAAACAAAAAAATTTGAATGTTAAAAAGAACTATAAACTCTGTACATAATTTAACACAGACACATATGTTACTGCAAACTGGAAAAGAAAAGAAACACAAGAGTTCACATTTAACTTCCTGTTGCTTGGGGCTTCTCTTGTTAGTGTTGCGCTTCTTCATTGACAACAAAATTAAGACACATTAATTTTCAACTACTTCCTCATCACCTACCACTTACACGATTTGCACGGTGAAAGAAAGAAAAACAAAAACACAGGTCACACAAAGAGTCTGATACATCACAGTTTAGCTGTTAAAACTACCTGAATGAAAACCCCCTAGTGGTAAAATTTTTTTATGTTTAAGAGAGAAAAGAGGTACGTAGCTGCTCTGCTAAACTTCTGCAACCCTCTGGAATTGTGTATTAGTGCTTTAAGCTTTAATTTGAGGCAGTGATTCTTCCAGAATTAAAGAATAGACTTCACAAAGCTGCAAATAGCTGCTACAATGTTGTTAAAATTCAAATGATTCCTGCTGCGGATGTCCCTCTATGCAGATGACATACCGTTTTCAATCACAAACAACTGACTCAGTTATTCTTTATGCTATGTTCTTCCACCCACACAGCTTTTAGGGTACTTTTAACTCTAGTAAAGCTACATTCTATAAGTTTGTTAAGAATACTATCTAAACGTAGTGGATCGCCTGCCTCCTCATACGTCGCCATCTTCAATGCGGGCCAGCTGCCTCTCCAGCAGCTCAATCCTCTGGTTCTGAGCGAGCACGACAGCCCGCAAGGCCTTCATTTCTGCTAGCAGCTCAGTCAACATGTCCTCCTGAAAGAAGCAAAACAACTAATGAGATAACAGGTTCGAGCACAAAAAGTAGCTCTACAAAACTAACAACGCACCTCTCTCCTTGGCCTGTCTGCGTTGCCGTCTGTGTCCCTTGTGGCCACTCGTGTTTGTGGCATCTCTTCCTCTGTCTCCTTTGAGACAGAGGTTGGTGTACATGTGGGTGGAGCTGCTGCATTCCCTGATGAAAGTGTGGCTCCACCAGTCCCGGAGTCCTGAGAGGAGATCTTCGGCTTTCCTCTGAGGGTGTCCCTGTGTTTAGATGGAGGGGCCGCATACCCACCGCTCAGGGAGACGAGAAGAGGTGAAGAGTCCTGCCCGGAGATCCATTCGTCAGCCAGAAGAGCCGGCTCTAAACCAGCAGTGTCTGGGTAAAGGTCTCCCTGGAACAGATCGGACTGGGAAGGCAAGAGGGATCATTTTGGTTATTGCCTTCTGAATGGGTCCATCACGCCAACAAGACAGCAATCGAAAATGTTTCTTATTATGAGAAAGAACTCCAGTTTTGTAAGACCAATCAGGAATTCTGGATTCAAAAACTGATTGTCCAGGAAAAGAGGAAAACATTAGCTAACTTGAGCTCACCAATATCCCTCCAACCTCTAAATGTTTGCATAATGCAAATTTATCATTTTTAGGATCGGTGTGTCTTGTTTGCATACATGATTGGCTGAACTAGAGAGGAAAGAGGACAACTATTGCTTTATCCAGGAAAAACAGATAGTAAATACATATCTTATATAATGTGTTGTTTATTACATGTCATTTTTTGTGTGACTTACTTTCCGTGGCACAGTCATTGAAATTGGCTCCACTTTCCTTTCATGCAGTTTGTAGAACCTATAGATGAACAGGGTCAACAAGGTTAAACAGCATTGTACAAACAAAAGAATACAAAGTCTGAACAAACATTTGTAAAAAGTAAAAAACATTAAAAACGCAGAACAAGGAAAAGTAGCAAATATTAAAGCTAATTTGGGTTAGATGTATTAAACTGTTTCTTATTATTTTTAATTATTATTTAAATAACAACAATTCTGTGGGCCTACCTGGCAATTTCACACTTATTGACATCGACGCCTCTTTTACAAAGAAAGCCCGCCCCCCTCTGAGGCTCCTTGCTGCTGTATAAACTGAGGAAGTGAACATATGGAGATTCATCCGTCACTTCAAAATACCGAATGGTGCAGTCGCCCTAAAAAGCCAAATAGTCAAGTGGTTTAGTCAAACGGGACCATGAAGTGATCATGTACAGCTACTAGGCAGGTTCTCACCTTTCCACAGAGGTAGACCATGTTCGTATCGGGGTCATAAAAAGGCAGAAGAACTCCGTTACTTGTATCCATTTCTTGCACAGCCATTGGCTCCGTGAGATCTTTCTGAAATACGATAAATTTGTCTTTAATGTCACAATTTTAGCCTTGTAATCCATCAGAATATTAAAACAGTAAGTGTTAAAGCTGCAATGGCAAATTTGGAAAACAAATTAGCTTAAAACATTTTTTCATCTTAACAACCATTTAACGTAGTATAGCTATAAATATATTGTGGAGATTTAAAAAAAGAACGATAAAGTGGTTCTCTTGCATTTGTCTGAAAACCTCCTCCAATTTGTCTGAAAACCTCCTCCAATAACATGTTTTGGACTGAAAGCAACTACTAAACCATCTGGTTGTCGGTCTCACCGAGCTATCGCACTTCCCTGGGTCCTCCATTCATTACGCACTCAACAAAACACCATTGGTGTGAGACAACAAAAGACGTTTGGACCTAGAAAACGGCGACTGGTGCTTAGCATGTTCTTGTTTCCTCCGGCATCTTGACCGTGACCGTGTTTGCATTCAAAAAAGCTTGTTTGCAGATTTTCCATAACAGTTTTAATTTACCAACTCCTCTCCTGCTGGGAGAATATACATTGTGCAACAGAAGCTTCTAGAGCCCCCTTAAGACAGGCCATGAAAAACGGAAATGTTCGGGACTCTGTCCTTAAGACCTTTGTGTCTGAATACAAACATCCGGATAACCTTTTCCATAATTTAACTGGACAAAGCCCCTAGTAACAGGTCCGGACTTGTCACGGACAGGGTGGCTGCTTCAGACTGGTGAGGTCGAGTTCCGGACAGGGAGGAGGAGGGGACCGGGGGACGCTGTGCGCACCTAGATAGCTCGCTCCTGTAGCATGCGGCGAACCATGGCAGCTTGCCTCCTACGGTACCATCTCCTAGACGCGTGACGGAGCGCTTCACACCGCTTCCGTGATTCCTTTATTAGCCATTGAGCTTCATCATCCAGGTCTCTTATGCATCTTCGTGTGCGCAGAATTATGCTTAACATAAGTCCGATCAGTGAGAGGAATTCTAGCTCTTCGTCGGCCATGTTTGACTGAATAGCTTTGTTTGGGTAAATGACACATGTACGCCCGCCGCACCATGTTTACACAATATCCGGGTACAGCCTTCCCACCCCCTCCCCCTCAGACATCTGGAACTTTTCCCTGCCGTGTGAAGGCAGCCGAAGGACAAGTTCAGGTACAAAAGTGGTGTGTCTGAAAACACAGTTCTGGTTAAAAACCGGACTGAATTGTCCACACATATTCCAGAATGTCAATCTGAAAAGGGCTTAGTATAGACTTACTGTATCCCACAGAGCCAGCTGTCGCTCACTCATCCTGCTGAAGCCTGTAGTCAGAATTTTTCCATCTGAGAGGAACACAGCTCTCATGGGCCTCGTACCATCATGGACCTTCTCTCTAACCTACAGGAATGAGTATAAACTCATAGTACTTCATAGTCGCATCTATTCTACGTGCATCGTAAATGTAAAATCACCTTAAGGACGGTGCCTCTGCGGGGGTCGATGACACGCAGGGCTTTGTCCTTGCACACAGTGCAGACAGCAGAGCCATCTTTGTTCCAGCTGACGCTGTAGATCAGATCTGGGTGAGCATTGCTGATCTGGTACACCAGCTCCCCCGTATCCACGTTCCAGACACACATCACGTTATCACAGCCTGAAGAGATGGAGAGAAATAATAATGAACGCAACAGAAAGTTCATGACGTTATCTACATACTCTTGGACAAAAGCAGAAGAACACAGGAAGGCCTGGATTGTTGTGTTGTAAAATAAGAAAAGAGCACTGTCAAGCAGCAAATGAGACATTAACAGCATTGGTCACTTCTGAACTTAACATCTGAGAAGCCCTTGGAGAAATGTGTCTGACTTACGTTGTAGAGAAGTACTTCGGTGTGAGTCCAGAGGCAAAATAATGGTCTACCCACACTAAATTGATACCTCTACAGTGCTGGTCATCTGGTCCTGGGTCAATCACAGCACTCTATCAATTTTGTTTGCATCTTCTTTGACAATGTATGGTGGACTCCCCCTTTCACTGACATCCATTGTGACCCAATCACAGCACTCTTTTGGTTCAGAGGGCCAACCACAGCTCTCTGTTGGAGGGCGGGATGTTTCTGTGACTAAGCCAAAAAAACAAAGATGGCGACGACTCGTTGGAAATGGCTTTGGCATCAATTTTGGACTATTCTGACTTGGACTCTCCTTTGAGTCAGGTGCCGATAGAGGTACTTCAGTTTATTTAGCAAAAGGATATATTTGTGTCTTCTTTGACGGAGATGGCAGACCCTGTTGACTGACGACCATAGCTGTGAGTGTGTCATGTTGTTTCAGTCGTTCAACCCTGCATGCAGCCGTACGATCATTCTCTGTATTGCAAATATTTTATACTTAATAAAAATGTGTCTCAAAACCAAAATTTTCACCAATAAAATAAGAATTTTCTGTGGCTAGCTCGCCAGTTTGAAAAATAAAGCTTGACGCTTCAAAGAAGCGATCGATCCAAAACACTATAAAAATAAACACTATTTCACCAGTTAGGCAACAATTTGTTTCTTTGATGACCAAATAGCCAAAAGTTAAAAAGGTTAGCAAGAAAAGTGGCACAAAAACACTTGTTGTAATAACGAAAACCAGCTCTTACCGAACACGCTTTAGCTTCGTAGCTGTAAGCTCGGCTGAGTTTTTAGCTGTTTTTGTCTTCGCTAATGTTGAAACGCCTTGTGGCCATCTTCCATTGGGTTAACTCCAAAAGTTAACCCAATGGAAGACATCCAGTGACTAGTCCTGTTGGGTAAAAACTGATATTTTACTGTTAATAATGTCTTTAACGGTTTGACATCTGGAGGTTAAACGAAGGTTCATTGTTTATCCACCTCTATTTCTCTGGGAACAGCTTTAGCTCCAACAGGGAGGACTGACCTTGCACTCAGTACCAGAACTGGCGCCCCCTTATCAGTAGTACTCTGGGTTATGGGCCAGACAGCTCTGTTGTTGTAAAAATTGCACCTGGTGTGCCTTCCTGCCTGAGAGGCTGTGAGAGCCTCTCCATGTGTGTGTGTTTACCATTTTGTGTGTCCTTAATAAATGCTTTCTGAGGGTTCTGTCTGATGAGAGCGAACTGACTACCGACTCGTGTGTATCACTGATCTCTCTCCACTTTGCAAAGTCTAAATTGTTTATTGTTGGTCAATTATCGGTATGGGATATTGATCAGCTTAATAATATCACCCCTGCGTGTTGAACTTTCCCTAAGGTAACCCTAGATGGGAAATAAAATTACCTAACAAGTCCCTTCAGTGGAGGGTGATACTAAAACTTGATCTTACTGCGATTTTTCATTGTTTAATTCATTTTCAGGTCATTTATTTACCTTTTAATCTCTTTTTATACACACAATATTAAAATGGGCTACCATTGGAACACAATATCTTTCTGGTTAATAAATGTTTAGCATGGGCCATTTCCTCCATTCAAATTACCATTTATTATTTGGTACAAAGAAAGACAACCTAAATATGATGTATTTCACATTCCACAAGCACTTCTTTTAACTGTGTGTGTGTGTGTGTGTGTGTGTGTGTGTGTGTGTGTGTTAGATGTAAAAGGTGACTTTTGCTGTTTACAACTCCAAAAATCTGTTATTTATTAAGAGACCATGTTTTAAACATTAAACCGGTTAATCATGAAGTGAGTTCTCCTACCTGCAGTTAGGAGGATGTTGAAGGCACTCGGGTGCCACGCCAGGATTCCCACTCTTTTATTGTGACCCTCAAGGGTCACAAGAGCCTCAGTCATCGGGGATGTCAGTCCTCCGTCTGGGATCTGCCACACCTTTAAACAACGTCCAGCACATATAACATATAAATAAGAGCAGGCTTTATACAATTTTATTTGCTCTGTCCAGTTTTCTGCTGTGATGAAGCAGAAAACCCTGAAAAATGAAAGCCTTCTGACATTGTTACAGTGAATAACCGTGGCAGGGGCTGAACACCGTAATAGCCTTTCATTTATGATAGGCAGGCCTTAATTGGAATTTCTTCTTTTAAATCTTAAAGCTGATTTTAATCAGATGTAAAAACCAGTCGAAACTAAACTTCCTGTTGCAGTTTTGTAATTAAGCTTTTCTTTGGTTACAGACCACAGAACGACGTCTCATGTTGGCTTTTCGTTGTTTTTGTGTTCAATTCTGTGTTTCATGGCTTTTTACACAGCTACGTTTATTGTTTACTGGACCAAAGCTGTTAACTTCAATCTTTGCAAATGTTTAAAACAAAACACAACAGCAGAGAAAACGACTTTGCCGCTGTTTTTACCACACCAAGACATTCAACTTTGTGCAGGGGTGAGCACGAGTTAGAGCAGCCCGATAACAGGCCACAAACCACTACCACACCAAACAGCTGGGTCTGAAACTCTGACGCTGAACCTGCCTTGACTGTGCAGTCCTCCGAGGCACTTGCGATGACGTTGTCGTCATGAGGTGACCACTGGATGTCTAGCACTGGCGCCGCGTGTCCGCAGACGGTGGGACAGGACTGGTCGATTCTACCGCTCTATAGAAGAGAACAAAAACTCCACTGATCTAGCTCAAGATCACAGCAATCCGTTAAAACATAAAAAGCTCTGCATTAAAGGGATACACAGCAAGGCATCAAAAATCGTCTAGAAGATATTGATCCAATGATCTGAGGCTGAATGTAATGGAGGAGGTTGAACCTTGGTGATGGGAACAACGAGGAACGCTCCTCCTCCACCTGCTTCGATGATGACCGCAACAAACTTGGGGTTGACAGCACAGAGGGGACTGTCCCACGTCACCCGGGACACTCGGACGTCGTCTAGGCAGTGCTCGGCTTTCCAGGCTTGCGCAAACACGTGACGGAATTTGCTCTGCCGGACCACACCTCTACGGAAAGACATGTCTGTGGAGATAATCGTGGAAAACGTAGCAAAGTAGTTTAATTCCAGCAACTATAAATGGATACAACTAACAAAATAAGAGCGGTAAATAATTGATAAGATAAATAGTTAAAGCAAATAGTCAGGCATCACTTTAATATTTCATTATCGTGTTTGTTTATTATCATGCAGCTTTAATGCCTTGTTAGAATTTCCTTTTTCATAAAGGCTCCCGAGGACCAGTATTGGACACCAGTTGATGGAATATTTTGGTCAGTTGTAAGTGTGTAAAAGTAATAAATAATTGCTGTTTTACCCATTGTAAATAACTTCCTGAACAACTTCGGTTTGGAGAATGTAAGTCCTACAGGCGCTAATGGCTAGTCTGAGTCAAAGTGCATTGTGGGTAACATGAAACAAAATGTGTGGCCATATCAGAGAAATCAAATTATCACTGTCAAAATGATAGAACAGAAACACTTTTAAGTGGTGTTTCCACTCGGACTGCTTTAGATGTGACACACTAAAAGCCTTATCGGTGCTATGCATTTGTATAAACGAGGATGTAATGCTAAAGCTACGTTAGCTTGATGATTTTCTCTTTTTGTTTTGTTAACACGACCTTCATGTGAGTTGGTGAAAGTTTGTCAAAGGGTCAACAGGGCTTGTGATCATGACGTCATCACCGACGCGTCCGCCCCGTTCGAGGCATGTTAGTCCTTACTTGTTGCTCGTTACTACTTAAACAGCGCGTTCAGTCTCTTTCTCGCGGCTTAAATGAATCTATTACTCATTACACAACTATGGTAAATCATTGTTGTGCTGTTGGGTGACACACGTAATCGCCAAGGGAATAAAGGTGGAAAACAAGCTAACTTTTCACCGTTTTCCTGCTTAGAGGCAAAACCATGGAGACCAAGTATCTAGCAAAGTCTCGTCGGTTCGCATGGATCGCAGCCATAAGGCAACCAAACATCACCTTCCGGAGTATTTTCATTCTGGTAAGTTACAGCTGGTGTACGCTTTTTTATACATCGTTGCTTTCCTTCAACCGCGACATGCACAAGCTACACACACATACCAGTAAGCTAGAACCATTTATAATGCTGATTTTGTCCACATACTGGTCCACAAAGTCTTTATTTAACGTATCCCTGTATATTCCACATCCTTTTTGGGATTTTATAATGTTGTTTATCACTTTCTTTCACCCAAATTTGCTCCTTCTCAAGCTGCTAACATGTCCGCGCACATCCCAGAAAGCTATGCGTCACCACGTGTGATCACAAGCCCTATAGAGGCTCAAATAACAGTTTCCACAAAGTTGTTCTAGCACCCCTTTAAGACAAATGTACGTTAACTGGCCTCATTAGTATTCGTCGTTAGCGTTTCTGTCTGGTCAGAATGAATCTCTGTTTCTCCTAACTGAGGTTTTTCAAATAGATACATTCATCAGTTATTAATTGTTCATAGCCTATTCACAGAAACCCACTTTAATAAATCAGAAACTGTTTAACAGAAAAGGCTGGATATCTGTTTTGTCGCGTTTTTAGTGTTGCTGAGGGAGAAATGGCAATGTCAAAACTTCCTTCGTGCTGATCTGTCCTGGAAGTACAGTCGGCCAGAGCTCATGATCTGCCTGAAACCAAAACATGCCGTGGCAGTGAGGGGAGGGGGTTGGGTGTAACTCTTATCTACTTACAGATCCACGCATTTCTAAGCAAACTGTACAAGCTGGCACGAGGAGTAAATTATCATTTCACAGTCACAACACGCAATGCATCAAATCCTGCACCCAGAATGAGCAGCCACCGCCAACATAATTGATATCGGACATGTCAGAAACACTCTGACGCGTTCTCATTTGATTATCAGCATTCTTCCAACATTTCTCTTTGTCGTGTGATCGCAATAAGAGGAAAAGAGCCACTCGGTTTGCAAAGAGCAACTACAGGAATGAGCAACAAAATGATGGGCGTTCCAGCCTAGTTAAAGCCACAACGGCTCGTTCAGAGGAAACGGTGCTCCCCCCGAGCAGAACATCATACCTGGTTTATGTGAGACCTCTCTTAATTGGAAAAACGATCACCAGAAGACTCGACAAGAGGAGGCCAATAAAATAATCCGCCGCTAGCAGCAGTAACTTAATCCCCTTCAGTGTCCAGGCACGCGCTCGTTGCTATTGCGCAGACCTATAATAATAAAACGTATCCATTAACGCGGGGAAGGAAAGAATGTTATATTCCGGAAATTAATATTTCACAAAAGCCCGACGTGCTGTTTTTTGGTTTTAAAGTCAGCTGGAGTAAAAAAAAAAGTGGAACATGAAAAATCATATCCTACGACGGTAACGCGGTAATTACCGGTGCACGGCGAGCAGCAAACTGGGAGATGGAGATGGGAAATACCAGACGCAAACCTTTTTTTTTAATCCCGTCCCCCTTTTAACAAAAGCCCGATTTGGAGCGATGGAGCAAGATCCCGGGGACTTCCGCTCACGGAAAGATATATCAAAGACACGCAGTGGGTCAAGATAAACACTTGCCTTTTGTTTTCCTGGGTAAATGGAAACAAGCAATCTAAATAAAACAATTAGAAACGCAAAATGTATATATTTTATGCTTTAACACTAAATAAAATACATATGCCGTAAAAGAAGTCGTTATTTTTATTTTACGCTTCCTCAGAATCAGTCAATAAAAGCTAAGGAGATTTCTTAAACTGAGCTACAAATTATGAACAGAAATATTGTTTACGTTTGTCTTTGGTAAAAAAATTGCATTTCTTTAATAATGATTTTTGTTTGATTATGTTTAACGGGGGGGGGGGGCATCTGAATTTTAAACTCAACCCTGTGGCGCCATCTTATGTTCACACACGACAGAACACCGAGAACTGTTTTTAAAATGTATTGTTGGAACCACGTAGTTCAACAGGTGGCTCCGTGGCGCAATGGATAGCGCATTGGACTTCTAGGCTAATGTGAAGGGATTCAAAGGTTGTGGGTTCGAGTCCCACCGGAGTCGCATTTTGAAAGATAAACCCAGATGAAACGTTTTGGAATTTGATTTAGCAATTTGTCATTTTTAGTCTCGCTCCAGGCTAACTGACCTCGGGAGAATCTCCAGGGCTCTTCGACAAATTACAGGGATTATGTACGCATTCTAACTGACATGCCATTTTATTCCAATATTTATTGTTTAGTTGTTACAAAGAAATATACATCGTGATGTTACATTGAAGATTACACAAAACAACACAACTTACACAAAGTCAGTAAAATTGATTGTTTGAGTTTGCCGTGGATGAGTTTCCACACGGTACCTAATTCGTGTCACACCGGGTGTATCCTCCAAGCTAACCTTAGGCTAGTTAGATGTAGCCAACTAGCTATAGATAATTGCCATTATACGCAGTTTTACAATGAACATCCCTAACACTATTATTGAGGGAACGTAAAGATAATCAGTGGCGACATTATTTCATATTCACTGTCTTTTTATTTTTCCCACGAGCCAGGTTGAGTTCATTTGAACCACTATTGCCCCGTGCTGGCTAGTTAGCGGTTAGCCTCTTCAGTAGTGTATGGGTGTCCGAGTTGACTGTGACTTCACTGCCTGTTTGGTTTCCTCATCTCGCATTTTGGACACGTCAAGGTAAACATTTAGCCACCAGAGAAATTGAAAGCTAGCATGTAAACACGAAGGTTTTTCAGCAGTGCATGTTACCTGCACTGCTTTTGTCAGCTGGTGAACTTGGAACAAACATGTCACTGAGTGTTTCTTCACTTAAGCTCGTGTTAGCAGCGGGCGATAGTTATCGCAGTTTTCAGTTTATATGTAGCCTGTGTGGGGTTAGCCACCGCTGTTAGCGTCGTTCATTGGGTCAAACTTTTCCTGATCGCTGTTGTATGTTTGTGTCAGTTTCTTCTAAGAGTTTCTGTTGCGTTTAACAGTTAAACAGCTGTTAAAGTCCTCTAAGCGTGGCCACATTTGTATTTTAAACACAATAGGTTGCATTAAATCACCATGTAGGTGCATCGAATGTCAGCTAAGCTTTTCATGTTCAAATAAATAAGTAGCTGTCATTTATTAATGTGTACTAATTCCTGAGTTGACCTTTGAGCTGTTTATTCTGAGGACAGGTCGGGTTGATTAGTTTAAAAATAGAGCCTATGAATATCAATGTTGATTAAAATTGTCAGTTTCCCCTCATTAAACTGTCTGACACATTCAAATATTTTAGAAGTAATCTCATAAGTGATTTTTAATCAGATGCATAATCCAGAAATGCCCACCTCCAGCTAAAAGTGGGTTTGAAACACCACAAGTGTCCACGTTTATAGCATTTCATCAGTCATGACATGAATAATCATTTGTTAAATGTTGTCTTACATCAGTGATTAAAGACTCGGTTGACCGTTCTGGTGCCAAAATGAGAAGTGAAATATGCACACATCTAGAAAAAAGTGTGAAAAAGGCCTAGCGCCACAAATAAAAAGGAAGGTCAGCACTTTTTGGTCTGGGTTGTATTTCACTTCCTTGAATCTTTCCTAGAAATGGGAATATCAGAAGTACCTCCTGTAATTGAACTTCTTACGCTTTCACGTCAAAATTTGAATAAAAAACTTGACAGTTTGACCTTTTTTTTTTGTACATTTAAAGGTTCGTTGGATCTGTAGGTTGATTTTTTGGGGACGTGTGATGTCGGAGCCGAAGAACCCCACCCCTGCTGCTGACACGTACAAAGGATGGGTATTCAAGTGGACGAATTACATCAAAGGCTACCAACGGAGGTGGTTCGTCTTGAGCAACGGGCTGCTGTCATACTACAGGTACGGTTCCCTGTGAAAACACTGATCACAGAAACAAGTTTCCCTTTCTTGTTTACAACACACACTCAGCTGGTGTAGATAAATTTCAATGTAATGTTTGAGGATCAACCAGAATCAACCCATAAATTGATTCCATCCTGTTTTAGTCAGATTAAAGTTCAGCTGGTCTAATATTTACGGTGCATGGGGCTCTTGCTACTGCTGTGTGCTGGTAACACAGTCGAGCATAGACAGTAAAAACAGAACCTGGTCTTAGAGATTTGTGCTCTTGGTGTCATCCTTTCATCTAAAAACAATCCTTACACAAAGATTTCAGACTGAATGTCTGAAAGATAAAATGAAGAAGAGTTAACTTTTAACACAGATATAACTAAAACAAAATGTGATTTTTCTTATACCAAAACCCCTAAATAATATTAAAACAATGTCTAAAAGAGGAAAACAGTTCATGAAGACAGCGCAAGTCCATGACGAGATGTAGAATGACCTAGAATGAGGTTGCTGTAGCGACTGTAGCCAGGTTACTTAATCCCCGTTAACAGAATCTGGGGATTCTGTTTGTATGTATCCTCATCAACCTCAGGATTATTTCTGCTCAGGTACTTTTGTAAATAAAACCTGTACAGAAAAGTATTTTGTAAAGTTGCTGTTAAATCCATAAATGTGCCCTCTAAACAACTTTACTCTATTTATTCTTTTGCTGTTTATCACGGCAGTTTATATAATTTCATCCATGCACAAGAAAACGTCCACAGAGGGAAAAGTTAAACCTCTTTTAATGAGCTTTAGCTGCTAAAATTCACTTTTAAAAAGTTATTTGTGTGTTCAGTGAAGTTTTAAACATCTTTAGACTTTGTAGGTTCTCACAACACAAAAACATCAAGCAACTCGGTCTTCTGACTTGTTTTCCTCTTCGTGTTGTGACTCAGCTGAACGTTTAAGCAGCAGTAACGGCTAGACATGTTTACATCACCTCTAACACCGTCCTAAAGGTGTCGTGTTACATTTGATTACATGTGAAATTTTACATTGGTTAATTCATTTGTTGATTCAATTGGTTTTTATGTGTTTTTGAAAAAGGCACAGGTGTCATTCATTCATTCATTCATTCATTCATTCTATGTGTGCTGTAGTTCTGTCTGAGGATGCAGGTTGTTGTTAGGCTGTGACTACAAGGCCCATAATGCAACAGGGCAGCAAGGCTCTTATAGGGAGCCTAAGCCACGCCCATCTACTTCCGCACCATGGGCCCCCGGAAGAACGAAAAAAGAATGCAAGTCAGTGGGGCTAAAAACGCTACTTTCTAATTCCGATTCCGCATGGATTTCACATATGATGTCTGTGAATTTTAAAGAAGCATTTTGATACCAAGAACTCTCCTATTTTTTCGAACTGGGGGAAACGCAATTTTAGGTTTTGTGTGAAAATAAGTCCAGGACTACAAATGCGCATCATGAAAGTGACGTTATCGAACCAGACGCAGAGAAAAACTGCTGTAAGTGGCTGTAAGTTCAGCAAACTTCAAATCCTTCCTTCAGGAGGAAATAATCACCATAAATCTGGTCATGTGGTAAGTAGCAGCTATGCTAGGGGAGAGGAGATTCTGGGTGTTTCTCAATGCCAAGGAACCTTGCCTTGATGTCTTGGCCCCGGTTGCCTAGGAGATACGTCACCAGGAGCCGCCAAGACGTGTTCCAATGTTCATGTTCTACCGAGGCGTGTTTCTCCGTTTGTTAGCCGTTTAGCTAGCTGAGCAAGAGCGTCGGATACCTACGTTCCGCCCCAGCGCGTCCTCTCCCGACGCGCTGGGGCACCCTGCTCGTCATGTTTTGACGCTTGGTCACACGCTTAGGGTGTGAGAACGTGTTGACTTTTCAGTTGCAATTTAAAGGTGAAATGTTTTGGATGTGCGATCCAGGGTCTAAGACTAGAAACTAGCTCTTTTAGCCCTGTTGACTTGCTTTGATTTTTTTTTTTTTTTGTTCTTCTGGGGACCCATGAGCCGACCGGAGGGGGATGAGACTTAGGCTCCCTATTGGGACATTATTTATTGACCTTGTTGGTTGCTCTGCTCCTGTAGGAACTTTGATTTAGCTAGTTTAGGTTGTTAAAATAATAAAAATAATGTTAATAGAACAGAATAGACTTTATTGATCCCACAGTGGGGACTTTGACTTGCTACAGCAGCACCAATACTTAGAGGAAAGAAAGAAGAAAAACGACGACGATTACAGGTAAACACACAAAGGCGTTAAGCTGTTATCGTAACCACTCAAACAACAAATGAAACGAAATGTTAGGTTCAAGAACTCTGCAGCATAAGGGACACTTTATGTGCATCATGGATTGCACAAGTATTGAACACATACTGAATATTGCATTGATGTTATTGTGTACCAGGATAATGCCAGTACCAGTTAAACTCACTTATAACTGATGCTAATCTAGTAGTGTGGTGACAGATTTGACCTGATTATAGGGATGTCCTCGACTTTTTAGGTGTCCTTTACATTTTAGGACTTCTATTTGCTAATTTAAAAGAAAAAAATATATATATTTTTCGTAGATTTTTATGATGATCTTAATTTTACACAAACCTAGGAGGTCTGGAACCAGGTGATCCAGATTCATGCTTAACAAAAAATGTCTGATGTCGCTTTCAGTAAAGTTTTTCCTGTCATCAGGACCCAGGCAGAGATGGGACATACGTGTCGGGGCACAATAAACCTGGCCACAGCGACCATCACAGTGGATGACGCCTGCAACTTTGTCATCTCCAATGGCGGAGCTCAGACGTATCACCTGAAGGCCAGCTGTGAGGTGGAACGTCAGCGGTGGATCACGGCGCTGGAGCTAGCTAAAGCGAAAGCAGCGCGCTTGCAGGCTGAGTCTGGTAACTACACACTCTGATTCTGCTTTGCTCTCTAACGGCGGTTTGATACACTTCTGGGTTTAATTGTGAACAGATGACTCAGGCGATGACTTCCCTTCATCGTCGCTGCCCGTGGCTCCTGGCCAAGGTGGGGGGTCACAGAACTCAGAGGTCCAGGCTGCTCTCAGAACACTGGGCAGCAAGGTGGAGGATCTCAGCACGTGCAATGACCTCATCTCAAAGCACGGCTCTGCCCTGCAGAGGTCAGGAAACGATATGAAATCTACCTGTAACCTCCACCTGTGTGATGCTGACGTCGCTTCATGCTGTAAACTGGTTAGGCTCTTTAGTTATGTCGCACATTTTTATATTTCAGGTCTTTATCGGAGCTGGACAATCTGCGTCTGCCTGGAGAAGCAGGCGATAAGTTTCGTCAGGTGACGGAAAGAGCCACGCTGTTCCGCATCACATCAAACGCCATGATTAATGTAGGTGTTCATCTCTAGTGAACAATATCAATCAGAGGAAGGTATATCTGATTGTACTCCACCACCTGTGATGTCAGGCCTGCAGAGACTTCCTGGCCCTGGCGCAGGCCCACAATAAGCGATGGCAGAAAGCTTTGCTGGCAGAGCGGGAGCAGAGAGTGAGGCTGGAGGAGGCGTTGGAGCAACTGGCTAAACAGCACAATCACCTGGAGCGGGCCTTCAGAGGCGCTGCACAAGCTAACGCTGCCCCGGATAATAAAGGTGAGTTGAGACGCTAACGCTGGGGGAAGATGAACAGTTTCTCCCTCTTCCATCCTTCTTAAGAAGTGACTCAGAAGTTACTGATCTGTTGTTTTTGTTCTTTTTACTCTGTCTTTGTCGCTGAAATCCAAGGGTGTAAAAACCGATCATTAGCTCTGGGGTTAGTTACTTTACCACAGAGTGCCAGGTTTGTTTGAATAGCAAATTTTTTCTTAATTATTTTTAACAAAACTACTTAAAAAAAAAAATATATATATATACGTATATATATATATATATATATATTTTTTTTTTGTAGCTTCAAAAAATTTTTTTCAACCAAAGAATTATCTTATTTTTTATTTACAATATTTGTAATAAACAAAAAATAATTTTTATTAGCCATTTTATATATTTTTAAATAAATATTAATTAAGAAGTATATTTAGAACTATATTGTTTAAAACATTTTAGGTCTTTATTTTTTATGTTATTTTAAAATTAATAAAAAACTTTTTGACTACATTTTGTATTTACTCGGGTTGTCTTTGACTTTAAAAAGTGTTTACATAGATTTCCATGTTTTAAAGCATGTTTAAAAAAATTCAAGAAAAAATATTTACCAAATGTTTTTCAACAAAAATGAAACTTATGACATAATTTTATTTTATGTACATTTTTGTTAAACTACATGTTGTATGTACACGGTTTATCCTTGATTTCAAAACGCTGATGATGAAATATTTGTGCTACAAAAAAAAACAAAAAAATACACAAAAAATCTATTGGAAAACAAATAAATGTTGCTGTATGTTTTAAAGCATGTTTAAAAATGAAAGAAAACAAATTTTTAAATGACAAAAATGTTATTTGTATGTTTAAGTTTTTAAAACTACATCTTGCGTAAACGCGGGTTATCTTTGATTTAAAATGCTGATCTGAAACATTTATGTGATTCAAATAAGCAAATAAAAAGTAAATCAGTTTAATAGATTTGTTTGTTTTTAGGCACGAAGCCGTCTGTATTCCACAGATTTATTTGTGTCAAAGATCATGGAAACTTTTTCTTCCGTTGCTAAATTTACTAAAACATAACCTTTGATTCAGTTCTCATCTCTGATGTCGTTACACGAGTCGTGCTCACTCGTTCCAAGATGGAAATCGTTACTCGTACATTTATTTCTGTGTGTTTCCTTTGCAAGTCTTTGTTTACTTTGTTAGACTGAATAGCTTTTTACTTGGTAACCACGTCACACCCTGGGTATTTCTGCTAAACCGGCTTCCTACTAAAGTTAGAAATCCATTTTAAGGTCTTAGTGTTGAAACTTTGAGCTCTACAGAAACACAAACCAGCTCACGTCTGAGAAGCAAAGGTGACAACGCTTCTTAAAGGGTGAAGCAGTTGTTATTCAGTATGTCCTTTTGGACCTGGCATAAAGACACCATTAACGTAAAAAAAACTGGTGTGTTATTTGTAAGGTGCTACAGGCCCCGGGAAAGGTGAGGCCAGCGACGAGGATGACGACAACGAGTTTTTCGACGCCGTGGAGGAGGCTCCAGAGTTCATCACCGTACCCGCAGACCCGCAGTTCCATAAGTCAGCGTCTCCTTCCTCCAGCCGAGCCCACGCAGGCCCTACGGGTTTCTTCTCAGAACTGTTTTAATGTTTAATGTCTTTCAGAAGATCGAGCAGCAGTGCCAGCGGTTTCAACACCGAAATGTGTTCCGATGATCAGTCGGTAGGTCACGATCCACCCTGCACTGTAAGAAAGGAAAGGTTGAGTTTACTTCACCAAGTTCTGTCCACTGGTTCCACCAAGCCTAGTTAGTTAAACGTAAAAAGAAACACACATGGTCGTGTCAAAAATAAACGTGCATTATTCTTTATATTCAATCAGTTAGGTTTAGTGGAACCAGTTGGCACAACTTAGTTAACTAAGCTTAACCTTTCCTTTCTTACAGTGTAGTTGCTCCGAGTAAAACGTTCCCAGGAGCTGCCGGGATGTTTTTATTGACGACACGTTCTTAACTCCTAGCTAAACGACGAGCCCCTGGCGATGAACCAGGAGTTGTCCTCTCAGGACTTGGTGCCCCTGAAAAAGAGGCGAACGCGCATCCCAGACAAGCCCAACTACTCCCTGAACCTGTGGAGCATCATGAAGAACTGCATCGGCAAAGACCTGTCCAAGATCCCCATGCCGGTGAGTGTCTGCAGCAAACGTGACTGGAAACTTACTGAGGGTGACTCGGCGTTCTCTCTGGTGCTGCTCTAATGAATGACGCCTTTAGAGTTAAAAATAAGGCGGATCTTTTGTCGCCATGCCGATGCTGTTGCAACATTTTCATGGCACCAAAGTGGAGCGACCAGTTATTGTTTTATTCGCCGTCGTTGAACAAAGATCAATCAATCAATCAGTCAAACTTTATTTATAAAGCACTTAATCATGCAATGCATGCAACTCAAAGGGCTTAACAAATTAAAAAGGCCCCGCATCCCCACATTCCCTCCCATCCCCACATTTTTAATCTGTTTTTGCTTTCGGTTCTCTGCCCAGACTTCATTTGCCTTTTAAAACCCACTCGTCTTAATTACAGCTGCGTAGAAACACCTTTAGTGGTTTTCTTTCTGTTGACCCACCTCAGGGTTTACCCCAGGAAATGAGTAAAGCCTGGCTGCTTCGGCTGTTAGGGTGGGTGGGGGGGTGTATGGGGGGGTGTATGGTTGCACACGTTCCGCTGCTGTTTCCCGCCAGTATCAGCTGCTGGAGGGCTCTAGTTTCATTGCGCTGTTCGTGTCAGTGGGTCGGGGAGGGGGGCTGGGCGGGGCATGACACTTATGGGCCATTCCCATCTGTACCGGGTCGGCCCAGGCCGGGTAGCGTAGGTTGTTTACATATCTGGGTGGCCTGGTATTTTTCCGGGCCAACCAAGGCTCATTCTCAGCCCTCTTCTCGAGGGGGTCTGCTTCAGGCCGACCAGGGCCAACACACCCACTGCTGACAGCAAATTGACACCTTCCATTAGAGCAAGCCTCTGATTGGTGGGTAGAATCAGCCCACATGGGCTTATGACAAGGATGTGTGGAATCAACCGGGCCAGGCTGGGGCTCTACAGATGGGAATGGCCCATTAGCCTGGCATATGGGCAAGCAAAGCCTGGCGGGCTGCCAGGCTTATAAAGCGCTGGGGGGAAACCCTGCACCTCCTCCATCAGTCCCTTTACGTTCTTTAACCCTAGACCAACCTGCTGTTTGGGCAAAACACAGGAAACCATTTAAAATAAGTCGCCTTTCTCAACAGTTATAAATGATATTAGTTCAGGTTTGGATTTTCAAAGCCAAGATGTTTAGCTACTAAACTGTAAGATGATTAAAGAAAAATCAAATCTAGGGTTTAAAAGAAGATTTATCTTCTTTTAGAGATTAACTGAACTATTTGTAGTCATTTTCATACAGTCATGCACGAGTGAGAGAGAACAAGAAGCGGTTCAGGTGTTTATTTCAGGTACTTTTTGTTGTAAGTTACAGGTATGAGCATGAAACTGCAGTAACAATGAGCGTCAGCCATGAAGCTGACTCTAGGGGGCGCTGGTGCTCCACGAATCAGGTCAGCTCACAGCTTACGCCGACAAAAGTAGTTGTTACTTATTTATAAATCACAGTGCAGCATTACGCATCTATAACTATATTTATTTATGTGTTTTTATTATAATTAATTAAAATAAAAAAACAACTAACAAGACAGAAATGTATAAAAATGTCCATAAACCTTTTAAAATTAAATGACTGTGCTGTGTTTAAGGGGAGTTTACATAAATACAATAGTGTTTAGTAAAAGTGCTAAAAAATAAAGAGTTAAATCACAAATACTTATTTTTTTAAGTTTGTTAGGCGCATAGAGTCCTAATGTTTTTGTTTGTTTGTGTTTTTGAACTTCCTTGTGAACAGATACAAAGGTGACCTTAAAAAGAACATCCCATACTGGTTTGACCTGGTTTACACCATCAGCTCTTTTGATCTTGAGATCAAACATCTCAACAGGATGTCAGGGAATTATGCCTCCGGCGCTCTTGTAGTTCCTCCTAAAAACCAACCCTTGTCTTTCCTGTGGCACCGGTTCAGCCACGTCGTTCAGATGTCACCTGTGATTAATTGAGCCCCGCTGACAGATTTATAAAGGAATAACTTGTTAACTAATGTTTATTTAACATGCCAAACTGGCTTAACTGCTCCACACACATCACATCTGCATCCTAGGTGTTCAGACTTGTGTTTTTACCCAGCCTGATTACAGTTTCTACCAGGTCATGATAGGCCCGTCTCTGATGCACTGCACTGATTGAATTACAAGGAAGTGTTGGGAGCAGTTTAGGTTAGAGGATGTAGCTGGAAAGTGATCTCATTTAAGGTTCATTTAAGACAAGACGCAGTGTTTCCCTTACATGGGCGTAGCCGTCGCGGGCCGCCACGGCTGAAATCCCAGCGCCACACCTACAAGATCCCAAGTTTTATTGATTTATTTATTTATTTTTTGTGTCGTTTCCCGAAGAAGCAGTGGGAACTACTCTGTTGTTACAAGGGGGCAGCAAGGAGGAGGAGGTAGGGCAGGGTGGTTACAGCTAGGGATGAGCGTTTGGATAAAGCATTTTTGATGAATACGAGCATGAAACGAGTAAACCTCGTAAATATCTGTAATCGTGCTGAAGGAAAATCCTCATTGGGTAACTGACTGTCTTCACTCTCTGTGATTGGCCAGTCACATACAGCGCCCGCCTCTTCCTACACACAACTTTGCAACCGGGAGCTCAGTCCGTTCGGCCCATCCACACACACACACACACACACACACACACACACACACACACACACACACACGTTTCTTCAGAACTCCCTAGGTTTTCAGATCGCCTCTTTTTCGGTTGAATATTTAAAGTTACTTTTGTCGTAACGTACGCGGTGCATTTGACATGACACAGCTGAAAACGGCTCGTGCATGCGTCGGTCACTGCCTCCGCTCCGGTCGGGTTTTTTTAAAATTATTTTAACTCTTTCTCTCTCACACACACACCTTAATCAACATCGTTTTGTTTAACTGTGTGTGGGAAAAAACCAACAACGTTAGGAAAAAATAAGTTTAATCAAATTTAAATAAAATGGTTCTAATATTTCATATTTCCTAGTTCCTACTGCATGAGTTCAGATGCATTAATTCATGCACTTAAACATTAATGTTCTGATTTTACTGAAAAACTTGTTCTGTAATAGTTCCTTTACTGTTGTGATCAAACATATTTAATCTCAGTTCTGAGGCTGCTCTGTAAATAGTTTATAAATAAACAATACACATAGCAACTTCTGATCAATCCATATCAATTTCAGATGTAAAATAATGTATTGATGTAAACCACACCCACTAGTTTCCAAATAATAAATAAGAGGTGCATTCATCTGTGTATCTCCTTTGATCCACATTAGTGATATTTTCAGCACCAGAACAACGAAGCAAAGAAACACATTCCTGAGTTTATGTTAGTAATTTTATTTATTATGTGCATCTGACCTGTTCTATTTTTCTCTGAAATGAGATCAAATCAGTGCTTCTATGGGTTGTCTCCTCTCTGCACTAGAAAATGTACTTTATTATAATGTTCACTGTAATGCATCTTGATGTTCTTAACAAGTAAATTAAATCAAAGATATTGGTCAGTAATGCCAAATATGTAAATTTGTGTTTCAGTCATTTTATACTGGCTTAAAAATACTTCATTAAGTCTACAAGCAGGGGTGTAGAAGGTGTTTAACAGGGCCAGCCCAGTAACGATCTTGGACCAAAATAAAGGGGGCAGAAGGAGATGTTTTTCCAGACGCCAAGAAAAATTAGATGCCAAATCCACCCTGCAAAGTGTGTCACTGAGAGTGTAAAAAAAACTTTTTTTTGTGCAAATATTGGTGTATTCACCTTTAATACTAGTTATTAAAATGCAGCAGTTGCTGGATTGGTGCAGTTCAAAGTGGAGTGCATCAAATAACACAATATTAACATAAAAGTGAGACGTGTCATAATTAAAACTAACGTACTATAAATGAGAGATAACAAAGGGGTCAGCCGGAAATGGCTAAGTATGTGAAAGCATTGATGACCTTAGTGCATTCTTTTGTGCTCAAAGGACAAAAACGTTAGAAAAAATAAGGTTAAACTAATAAAATGACAGTGAAATAGGTCAAAGGAACTACAAAACACTGGACTAAAACTGAAAGACTGACAGAATATTAATTAAACACTGAGAAGTGAACTAGCCAGCCAGGAAGTGTGTGAAAACATTTGTTAAGCTACAGGTGTAAGGTGGCAAACTATTGTTATTATTATTGTTGTTGTTGTTAGGCTGCAGGTCTAACGAGCAGTGAGTCCTTCATTGTTCCATGACCTTCCATGCAGATCCACAGTTCCAGACAGGAATAGGTTGGGAGGAGGAGGAGGGGGGGGGGGTGTTCCTTCTACAGGGAGTTTTGGTTTCTTGCAGCGAGTCAGATTCAGATAACATTTGTTTTGGAGCAGGCCAGAGATAAGGGTTTTCTCTCTGCCTTACAGTTTTACGGGTCTCAGGAGTATCAAACCAGCTAAATGATGTGGTTCAATTTCTTCCGTGCCGCACAGAGGCATTCTCCATCATGGTATCCATCTTGCGTGCAAACTGAAGAATCGTCCCCGGGTTGCTACACAGAGCATCCAGCACACGAGTCACCTGCAGCAACGTCTGTCTGAGAGTCCAGCGCACAGTAGTAACCTTCCTGGAGCTCAGCGGTTTTTCCAATAGCCTCAGCAGCTCCATACATTTCCGATATATCACTCCAATCGGTAGGAGAATCCAAACCGTACGTCTTCTGGGTCCTCAACGAAAAGAAGGGAAAGACGCACGAGGATCCACTTCCAGGAATCCAAAATGTGTCCAACCGGGTGCGTGCCGTGCAGGAATAAGGGAGCTCCCTTCTCCGTTCTGAACATTGTAAAACTCTCATCAGTGTAGTTCTGTGGCCAGTTGACCAGATCCATCATTTCAAAACTATAATTCCAGAAAGAATCCAAAGATTCGCTCTCAGATTAGACGGGACAAAGAGCCTTGGGAAAATGAGGGGCAGGAGCAAAAAGAAAAGCGTCTGCTCGCTCCGAGTGCCAGGAGGGACAAAATCAGCTCTGGTGGGTTATTTGTGTTCACATCTGGGTAAACATTTTCTTGTGACCCGCTCCCCGCCGCTCAGCTTTGTGCTCAGCCGACCCAACACCCCTGCTATGGACTGAGGACACCTTTCCCACGTCGCTGCGCTGACTGACTCACTCATCGTGGATTTCTTTTTACTTTTTAGGTAAACTTCAACGAGCCCATTTCCATGTTGCAGCGCCTGTCGGAGGACCTGGAATACCACGAGCTGCTGGACAAGGCTGCAAAGTGCCACAGCTCCCTGGAGCAGATGTGCTACGTGGCGGCGTTCTGCGTGTCTGCCTACTCCACCACCGTCTACCGCACGGGAAAGCCCTTCAACCCTCTGCTGGGAGAGACGTTCGAGCTGGACCGCCGAAGAGAAAGCGGCTACCGCTCGCTCTGTGAGCAGGTAAGAGCAGAAGAAGAAGACGAGAAGTGTCAAAAGGTGGACAGGAGGATGGAGCTTTGAGACCTTTTAGCTTTTCTTAAGTACATTTCAGGGATTGTTGCCAAAATGAAACATCTAATTAAGCTGAAAATAAACCGATTTAAGGATTAAAGCGTTTAGTTTGCATTTAGACGTCGAGCTAGTGTTTTAAATTCTGCATGTTTAATGCTCTGCTTTCATCAAAACGTTTATCACAGCACAAAATGTCCTTCCAAACCCAGCAGGGAGGGGCCTCAGCAGGTGAACACAGGTGAAACCAGCCCTTTACTAAATCATCTGTGTTGTCCCCGTCAGGTGAGTCACCACCCTCCCGCGGCGGCGCATCATGTGATATCAGAACGCGGCTGGACCCTGAGGCAGGAGATCACTGTTGCCAGCAAGTTCAGGGGCAAATACCTGTCCATCATGCCATTAGGTGAGACACGATTAGCCAAGCTGGTGTTTTAGGTTCATCGCGTGGCAGCGTGAGAGCGCCGTGCCATCACCAAGCCCCCAAAGGCGCTGTAGAAACACGCTGGAGTCGTGTCTGTCACACCTACACGCTGTAATGGAGACTATTATCCAACCCGCGGAGGTTTCTGAACTAGTATTTGTTTGTCGCCTGTTCTCGTGCAGGAACGATTCACGCCGTCTTTGCAAAGAGCAATAATCACTACACATGGAAGAAGGTTACCACCACGGTACACAACATCATTGTGGGGAAGCTGTGGATCGATCAGGTAAGACTCGGTTACAGCTGCAGGTCCGTTCAGGTGAATCCTCCGTACAGAAGCACACATTACAGGAGGTTAAAACTGGGCTTGGGCGGCGTTGCCGTAGACACCCGCTGTTATAAAATAACGTGTCAGCTCCAACCACCGTCATGGACAAAAACGTGCACGTATGAGACAAAGATTTAAAAAAAGATGAATGAAAGTCGTTTCGTGAATAAAATGAGTGTGTGGTTGAATTTTCTGTTTTACTTGCCATATTTTCCGGACTATAAGTTGCACTTTTTTTCATAGTCTGGCCGGTCCTGCGACTTGTATACCAAATTATGTAGGCTATGCCGCGCTGCTGCGGGCCGACTCCGGACCAGGAATGAGCTCCCCTGCCCCGCCATCCTCTGCTGGAGCCTGTGGCGGGCTGCTGCGGGCCGGCTCCGACCCAGGAATGAGCTCTCCCCGCCCGCTGGGAGGGTTTGAAAAC